AAAGAGAAAATAAGAATTGATTTGATTTGCTGTTTAATTTTAGTAACTGGACAATAGGCATGTCCATCTGAGGAACTTTATTCCAGATCATCTAGCAACCACCAGCACTGTGGGTATGATGGTATGGTATGTTGTCCTTTAGGGTGCCAGTGAAAGCTTTTAGGTGCCCTCAATTGGATTTGGAGAAATTTTCAGTTCATATACAGGTAAAAGCCAGTAAATTAGAATATTTTGAAAAACTTGATTTATTTCAATAGTTGCATTCAAAAGGTGTAACTTGTACATTATATTTTTTCATTGCACACAGACTGATGCATTCAAATGTTTATGTCATTTAATTTTGATGATTTGAAGTGGCAACAAATGAAAATCCAAAATTCTGTGTGTCACAAAATTAGAATATTGTGTAAGGGTTAAATTTTGAAGACACCTGGTGCCACAAACTAATCAGCTGATTAACTCAAAACACCTGCAAAGGGCTTTAAATGGTCTCTCAGTCCAGTTCTGAAGCCTACACAAACATGGGGAAGACTTCAGATTTGACAGCTGTCCAAAAGGCGACCATCGACACATTGCACAAGGAGGGAAAGACACAAAAGGTTATTGCTGAAGAGGCTGGCTGTTCTCAGGGTTCTGTGTCCAAACACATTAATAGAGAGGCAAAGGGAAGGAAAAACTGGTCAGAAAAAGTGTACAAGCAATAGGGATCACCGCGCCCTAGTCAAGATTGTGAAAAAAAACCCATTCAAAAATGTGGGGGAGATTCACAAGGAGTGGACAGCTGCTGGATTCAGTGCTTCAAGATCCACCACCAAGAGATGCTTGAAAGACATGGGTTTCAACTTCCGCATACCTCGTGTCAAGCCGCTGTTGACCAAGAAACAGCGCGAAAAGCGTCTCACCTGGGCTAAGGAAAAAAAGAGCTGGACTGCTGCTGAGTGGTCCAAAGTCATGTTTTCTGACGAAAGCAAATTTTGCATTTCCTTTGGAAATCGAGGTCCCAGAGTCTGGAGGAAGACAGGAGAGGCACAGGATCCACGTTGCCTGAAGTCTAGTGTAAAGTTTCCACCATCAGTGATGGTTTGGGGTGCCATGTCATCTGCTGGTGTCGGTCCACTCTGTTTCCTGAGATCCAGGGTCAACGCAGCCGTCTACCAGCAAGTTTTAGAGCACTTCATGCTTCCTGCTGCTGACCTGCTCTATGGAGATGGAGATTTCAGGTTCCAACAGGACTTGGCGCCTGCACACAGCGCAAAATCTAACCGTGCCTGGTTTACGGACCATGGTATTTCTGTTCTAAATTGGCCATGCCAAGACTCCATGCCACACCGCATTAATGCAGTAATTGAGGCAAAAGGAGCTCCAACCAAGTATTGAGTATTGTACATGCTCATATTTTTCATTTTCATACTTTTCAGTTGGCCAACATTTCTAAAAAAATCCCTTTTTTGTATTAGCCTTAAGTAATATTCTAATTTTGTGACACACGGAATTTTGGATTTTCATTTGTTGCCACTTCAAATCATCAAAATTAAATGAAATGGACATTTAAATGCAGCAGTCTGTGTGCAATGAATAAATATAATGTACAAGTTACACCTTTTGAAAGCAATTACTGAAATAAATCAAGTTTTTCAAAATATTCTAATTTACTGGCTTTTACCTGTATGTCCATGGAATATATTTTCTCTAATAAAATCATTTCAGTTAATTTAGAAATGGCCAATTCACAAGACATGTCATATCAAGGCACTTTACAATTCAACCAGATCATACCATCAGATTGATTCAAAGTTAAACCAGCCAATTGAATCGACTCATTGACTTAAAGGCAATACCTCACACCAAGCATGCTTTTTTAGCGACAGTGGAGAGGAAAAGTTCCTTTTAACAGAAAGTAACCTTCAGCAGAACCAGGCTCGGTGTGAGCCGCCATCTGCTGAGGCCAACTGGGGTTCAAGGAGACAGAAGCAGAGAAACAAACAGCAACTGTAAAAGGCGGCCCCGTCCAGGAAACACACAGCCAGGCAGACGAGCTCCGAGCCAGCTCCCATGTCTGAGGATGAAGAGAGCACATCCAGTTAGTCACAGTCAGAGAAACAGAACTACACTGGAAAAACAAGCCAAGGTCCAACATCTATAAACAAAGGTGTTGATGGGAGCAGCCCAGCTAATATACGGAGAGATAGAGCATCAGGGTGCATACACATAGCCTATTTTTAACACTCCCAAGGATGGAGATCCAGCCACTAAGGAAAAGATCAGATGAAGCTGCTATGAGAAAAAGCAGAGAGAGCATACAGGTGCTGGTCATAAAATTAGAATATCATGAAAAAGTAGATTGATTTCAGTAATTCCATTTAAAAAGTGAAACTTGTATATTATATTCATACATTACATACAAACTCATATATTTCAGATGTTTATTTTGTTTAATTTTGATGATTACAAATGACAACAAATGAAAATCTCAAATTCATCATATCAGAAAATTAGAATATTACTGAAGACCAATAAAAACAAAGGATTTATAGAAATGTTGGCCAACTGAAAAGTATGAACATGAAAAGTATGAGCATGTACAGCACTCAGTATTTAGTTGGGCCTCCTTTGGCCTGTATTACTGCAGCAATGCGGCGTGGCATGGAGTCGATCAGTCTGTGGCACTGCTCAGGTGTTATGATAGCCCAGGTTGCTCTAATAGTGGCTTTTAGCTCTTCTGAATTGTTGGGTCTGGTGTATTGCATCTTCTTCTTCACAATACCCCATAGATTTTCTATGGGGTTAAGGTCAGGAGAGTTTGCTGGCCAATTAAGAACAGGGATACCATGGTCCTTCAACCAGGTACTGGTAGCTTTGGCACTGTGTGCAGGTGCCAAGTCCTGTTGGAAAAGGAAATCTGCATCTCCAAAAAGTTGGTCAGCTGCAGGAAGCATGAAGTGCTCTAAAACTTCCTGGTATGTGGCTGCGTTGACCCTGGACCTCAGAAAACACAATGGACCAACACCAGCAGATGACATGGCACCCCAAACCATCACTGACTGGGGAAACTTTACACTGGACTTCAAGCAACGTGGATGAAGTGCCTCTCTTCTTTTCCTCCAGACTCTGGGACCTTGATTTCCAAAGGAAATGCAAAATTTACTTTCATCAGAGAACATGACTTTGGACCACTCACCAGCAGTCCAGTCCTGTTTCTCTTTAGACGCTTCTGACGCTGTCTGTGGTTCAAGAGTGGCTTGACACAAGGAATGCGACAGCAGAAACCCATGTCTTTCATACGTCTGTGTGTGGTGGTTCTTGAAGCACTCACTCCAGCTGCAGTCCACTCTTTGTGAATCTCCCCCACATTTTTGAGGGGGTTTTGTTTCACAATCCTCTCCAGGGTGCGGTTATCTCTCTTGCTTGTACACTTTTTTCGACCACATCTTTTCCTTCCCTTCGCCTCTCTATTAATGTGCTTGGACACTGAGCTCTGTGAACAGCCAGCCTCTTTAGCGATGACCTTTTGTGTCTTGCCCTCCTTGTGCAAGGTGTCGATGGTCGTCTTTTGGACAACTGTCCAGTCAGCAGTCTTCCCCATGATTGTGTAGCCTATAGAACTAGACTGAAAGACCATTTAAAGGCTTTTGCAGGTGGTTTGAGTTAATTAGCTGATTAGAGTGTGGCACCAGGGGCCATCAATTTTGAACCTTTTCACAATATTCTAATTTTCTGATATGATGAAATTGAGATTTTCATTTGTTGTCATTTGTAATCATCAAAATTAAACAAAATAAACATCTGAAATATATGAGTTTGTATGTAATGTATGAATATAATATACAAGTTTCACTTTTTAAATGGAATTACTGAAATCAATCTACTTTTTCATGATATTCTAATTTTATGACCAGCACCTGTAACGTTAGAGATTGAACTAATGGATTCTGCAGAGTGGGAGAATAGAGATAGAGTGATGAAAAGGGGATCCCTATGTCCTCCAGCAGTCTAAGCCTATAGCAGCATAACTATAGAGATAGCTCAGAATAACCTGAGCCACTCTAACTATAAGCTTAATCAAAAAGGAAAGTTTTAAGCCTAGCCTTAAAAGTAGACAGGGTGTCTGCCTCACAGACTAAAACCGATAGTTGGTTCCACAGGAGAGGAGCCTGATAACTAAAAGATCTGCCTCCCATTCTATTTTTAGAAATTCTAGGAACCACTAGTAAACCTGCAGATTGAGAGCGAAGTGCTCTGTTAGGAACATAAGGAACAATCAGATCTCTGATATAAGATGGAGCTTGGCCATTTAAGGCTTTATATGTGAGGAGGATTTTAAATTCTATTCATGATTTAATAGGAAGCATTGTTTTCACTGTTCCATTGTATATATGTAAAGCACAGATATTTTTTATTCACCTCTCCTGACTGATACTCTCATATAAAAAATAATACTGATCGTAAGTAACCTGTTGGCCGCTGGCCTCAGCTAAAAGTTAGCAAACCTCTACCAGAACAGCTGAGTTTTAGGTCCGGTTCAATCATTGCTCTGTAACGTAAGCAACTGTAATCATGCTGGGGATAATGCAGTAAGGCACAAGAACAAAGGAATAAAACTGTTTTTTTTCTGTTTAAACCCACGAAGAAACATTACACTTTAGCAAATTACCAGAACTATCATATAGCCTACTACAAAAAAAATAAAATAAATAAAAAACATGTTAAACCCAGAGCAAAAAAATTACTTCACTGCAACACATTTCAAAACCTTTGAATTTTGAAATCTTTGCCAGTTTCTCCAGCGCAACGTTCCCTGCTTCCATCAGCCTGATGGATTCATTCCCTTTGGGTTTTACACCATAAACCTTCCTCTCCCCCAGATAGGGCTTCAAATGTTAGCAAATAAAGGCAGTTAATGATCTAAATATAGATATAAGCTGTTGACCAAAGATATAATTAACTTAAAATGATATATTCTTTAAATTTTATTTACATAATAACAGGACAAAAGAAGCCAGTTTTCGGGCCTCCGGCAACACATTTTTTTATTCTGAGTAAGATGTGTCAACATCCAGCATGACAAAAATTGTACAAAGTTCACAATTTATAAATGAAATATCACAGCAACTTGTGATCTCACACATTTATAGCAAAATTAAAATGTCAACAAATCCATGCTGTGTAGTACAAAAATAAATCAAACTTCAGTTCCACAGAGAGAGCACAATAGTTTATACAAAATCCTGTCTTTGTTAATGGCAGCTGAAATCAACCTCGAAATGATTCGGCTCGTAATGAACTCTAAAGAATTCACAATAACTGATATGAAAATTCAGCATTCTAAATATGTGACAAACCTCTTGTGTACCAACATCGGATGAGCAGCTGGTTTGTGCTTTAGTCCCTTTGTCCATTTTTCACTGTTAATGAGAATTAATTTAAAAACTGGTACTAGCTATAGCTCTACTGAAGCGTTACTATATTGGCAAAAAGCTGCAGACAAGATGCTGTGTAGAAAAAGGCATATGCAGTCATGGATGATGGGTAGAAGAGTCCTGAACGAGGACTCGTAAAGTACAATAAATGAGATTCAGTCAGGTGAACCACGAGCACCTTTTTGCATTAGCTCTCGAAAAGGCAAATTCTGAACATGATCTCTAACAACTACGGTGACAAAATGAAGGGCTGCGTACTCTTACTCTGTGAAGGTCTCCAAGCTTTTACCTCCTCTGTTTATTTTTTTTTTTGTGTTTCTTTTACAAACCTTGAACTGATTGACTATTTAATCCTCTGTACAGTGATTAGACATAAAGTGCTGCTGGGGGGGGGATAACTTCATCTTCCTAGAATGTAGTAAAAAAAAAAAATGAAAGAACTGTAATGTTTTTACACTTGATAACAGCCTAAAATATAACTGCTAAGGTTATAATCATCCTTTCAATTGATTTCAGAGTTCCTGTTCCTCCTCTTTTTTTTTGCTCTCAGTGGGATGAAATCCACATCTGCAGTGGCTCCAAGCGCTTGGTTGCTCCCATCGTGTGCCGAAGAGGTCACCTGGGAAAAAAAATTGCACGCCGCCATACGTAAGGATAATATCTTCAAGGAGAAGTGCAAATAGTCTACTGGCACATAAGTGGGGACAGCGACCCTGTAAGTCCCGCTCTCTATAAATACTCTCTACAAAACCTTTTCTCTTCCAGGCTCTCGAATAACTGCGTTTAGTTTCTGTAAGAACATCAAAACATGGAAACGAAGGTGTCCCTGTGCAAAGTCGTACAGAAAAAAAAAAAAAAGTCCAACTCATATATTTTTTGCTCCTAAAACTCAATGTCCAGGTTTCCTCCTCTTTTAAAAAAAGTAATTTTGTATTAAAAGATTTGTATAAAAATCAATATTTTACATAGGCTATATTAAAAAGATTCATGTTACCCGGCTATGCTTATAAACAAGATTGCATATACCCAACCTTTTTTTTTTTTTTCCTTTTGCAGATTGCATCGTGTATACCTCTCTTTAAACAAATGATTTTGTTTTTATATTGCTGAGATATTCCATGATCCTAGCAACATATCACTGATCCGATTTGATTCTTAAAAAAGGCTAAAATCTTGCCTCTAAAGGTCATTGTCTTTACACATATTTCTATCTCAAATTTAGAAATGAGCATGAGAACATGCAAACTGGCTCTGCTAGATACAGTGATGAGGGGGAGGGGATTTCCACCATCCGGTTTCCGTGTAATGATGTTTACAATAGAACTTCATACATTCATACAGACATCAGGTAATTCTCTTCCCCAGAATTCATTTACAGCACTGATTAAAAATGGCCCCACCTACAGCGACACATCTTTACTCTTCGTCATAACAAAGCACAAATGATTCTCAAGCATTTTTCCTTTTTTTTCCTCTTTTTTTTTTTTTTTTAGAAAATAAAGCAATTCGCAAACCAGTTCTTGCTTTTTGACAATCTACACACAGGAAGAAGAAGATAAAGAAGGGAAAATCTCAGTTCATCAAGTCCAGAATCATCCATCAGGAAACAAAAAGACTTCTTCCTTGATTGTAGTTTTTTTCCCCCTTGTTTTTTCACCGTCTGCTCTTTTATTCATCTGAAACTCTTTGCTTTGTCGATCGATAAAAAGAACCTCTGTTTTAGCTTACTGTTCAGAAATATACACTAAAATGTGCATACATGAGCAGCTAGAAACATTGCATGACACTATGTCAGCTCATATGAAAACGTACAAAATGTAAATGTCTTCAAAAACTATTTTGCAATTTACTCCTTTATGTTCTTCCTCAAAAACAAGCCCCCAAAAACAAAAAAAAGAGAGAAAGAAAGCATCTTGAGGTCTTTTTAAGCATAATACCTCTTTTTTTCTCCAAAGAACAGAATTCAGAATATATATAACACTATATCAAATTACTGCACTGAACCGAGGAGGTCAAACCGTCACTGCCTATGTCTCTTCCTGTCGGGTGGGCGGGGGGACAACGTCTCCCTTTTTACTGAGATGCTACACTTGAATCCCTTGAACTGCTTGCTTGATGTTTTCCAGCAGAGCTTTGTTTTCCGCGCTCTGGTACTGCTCTTGGTTTGTGTAGATATCGGTCAGAGTCGTGACGTAGGCGTCAAAGTTCTGGTCACTCAATGACTCCTGCAGGAGCAAACCAAACACCTGTTAGTGATTCATCTGCTCAGTCCTAAAGGTCTATATCAAACACATGGTCATGGTTAGAAATCAACCATACCTCCTTAAGTCCTAAGGATTTATAAATCTAAACCTGCAATAAATAACATAACTCTACAACTGTTTAAATCTAAATAACTAATCTTTCACTGTGTGGGCTACAATAATTGAATAATAATAATTGAAATGCTTTAAAGTCGTAGGAGAACAGTCATTCTAACCGTTGCAGTTCGGAGTTCTCCCGAGTGGTGCCCGACTTTACACGAGTGAATAAAGTGAATGTGAAGTCACAGACGTCGTGAACTCTGGGACGAAACTCAGTGGTAAAGGAAATGATTCTTATTCCTTATTTCAACTGTTGCGTATATTAGCTGCGACATATGAATCAAAATGCAATAACCGAAAAAATTTGATTGACAGGTGACCGTTGATATATGACTGGTCGAATTTAGGTGTTCAAGCTGACGTATAACTAACTGGCCTGCATAAGATAACGAAAAAACCCCCCCACAGATTTTAAGACGGGATTTTTTTTTTTTGCAGTGCTTATTTTTGAAAAAAATTGACGGGGCTAAATATTTTTCATTTAGCTTTTCAAAGCTTCCTGGATGGGAAGCAAAACATCTTCAAACTTGGAAACAAAGTCCAGTGGATTATTTTTATTTGCTTTGTTTTTGGAATAACTATGATGGGTGACTGGGAACCTTCACCAGCATACTTTTCATAGTTGTCCTACAAATGAGAATCTGAGAAGTGTGGACCACAATTTTATTCTGTAGGGAGTTAAGCTCTAATTCATCACTTAAAATCCCAAGAAAAAACAATCTGTGGTTTTCATCTCTACATTGTGACAATGTTTAAGGATTACCTCCGTTTTCTAAGCAGTCTATGCTTGGTTACCACATTCAGATTAGAGGCATACAAGAAAAATGTGTCTAAAATATCCTAAGTGAGAGACATACCTGCTGGTGCATCTGTAAGCAGCTGTTAGTCCTTAGAGGAAGCTCTTTTTCTGCCAGGGGTTTCTGCAGACGGTCAGGAAAAACAGATTCTTTAAGCAGGACAGGTTTAAGCAAGATGCTATATATAAAATCAGACACTAGATGGCAGTATCTATTAAACACCCAAAAGATATAGATAAAAAAAAATGTAACTTGAACACATATAAAGTTGCACAGCATCAAGAAAAATCCCTATGGTGATGTAACAGGGATTATAGATTGTATTTTCCTTTACATCTTTCATTTGCACAACTCATGGGATCTAAAAGCAACATATGATAAGAAAAACGGTCCTTATATTTCAAAAGATGTTTGATTCTTTGCTTTGTCAGAGATAGATCTATTACGCAAGAGATGATGAGAAAAAGAATGGCAGTGTAAGGGACAAAGCGGGACGAAATTGTCTGTGATTACTTTAAAAACTCGACAACAAAACGAGCAACATGAAAATGATGGGAAGAGAACAGAGTGAGGTGTCTAAAGCACAAAGTAATGTTGGGTTTTTATCCATAAAAAAAAGAAAAAAAAAACAAAAAAAACAACAACCTTCTGTCAGATAAAATGACGGCAGATGTAGGTTTAGAGAATCCAATCATTTGAACAACACTCCTTTAATCATAGCTCCCCTTTAAAGGTAAACAAAACCTCAACATATTGTTGTTTTTTTATGTTGAATTTCAGCTCTCACAGTTGCTGCAAATCCACCCTCATTTCACAACTCCCCCTCAGCCTTTGGAAAGACAAGCGATGCTCCACATTTTACAGTAAGCATGCACAGAAAGCCGTATCTAATTATACACAGATAAAAGCTGTTTAACTGTTTTGTGACCTTCTGGCTCGCCCGTTTCCTGGTGGCCCTTACCATATGAGGGAGCTGGACATTAGCTAAACTGTTAATCAGTGAGTGGCTGAGGTTGGCCAGCTCATGCAGCAGAGATTCATTTTGCTGTTCAATCACCTTGTTTTCCTCCTCTATGGACTTCAAGTTGGTCTCCATTGTGGTGATCTACAGACAGGAAGGGAGGGGGTTCAAAGAGCGTTACAGGTCTCCTCATGCTAATTCAGAATTAAAGGAAAACGTAAAGGATTTACCTGTGTTCTGAGTTTGATCATATCTGCCTCCACTTGTGAATTCGATTCACTTAAATCTTTGATTTCATCATCCAGCTGCTTGATCTCCTCGTCATGCTCCAGCCCTGTAAATAGTCGGCGGCGTTAACAACTCTGCTAACTCACCAATGTGAAGTTAGGAAGATGAGACAGAGGCATTTCTTGGAAGAAAAAAGTTTCAAATTTATTTAACATCCTCAGACGGAGAGATAGGGCTCTGACTGAGGCCTCCTCAGCACATACATTTATACCTACAATTTCCCAACACACACTCAATTCAATTCAATTCAGTTTATTTATATAGCGCCAAAATTCACAACACATGTCATCTCAAGGCACTTTACAGTTCAACCAGATCATACAGTCAAATTGATACAAAGTTTTCTATCTAAGGAAAACCAGTTGATTGCATTGACTCAAATACAATCCCTCACACTAAGCATGCTTGTAGCGACAGTGGAGAGGAAAAACTCCCTTTTAACAGGAAGAAACCTCCAGCAGAACCAGGCTCAGTGTGAGCGGCCATCTGCCACTCCCCCCAGGGGAACCAACCCACCTGTTAGGTTTATTCAACGATGATTATAAAATTTATGTATGTGTGCTTATGAAACATTTGAGCAAGGGGATGCTTCACTCTGTCTTGTGATTTAGTCAGGAGACCACCCTGCCTTGTGATTCAGCCGTGGAGCATCCTGTCTTATGACCTGATCAACTGTCCTGTCAGAACAATACTCTGTTTGTAACCATGTGTCATGTTCTGTTAATAAAGCGCTCTGCAGAGGAGGTCCGGTAGAGACAGAGTGTTTGAGTCTTGGGTGCAACTGTCTCTCCTCCTGCAGGAAGCTGTTTGAAAATCCCTTACTGTGTATTTCAGTTCTTCTTTTACAAACCTACATTTTTTAACCCAACACCACCCCCTGCATAAAGAACTTTCTCACAGCTAAACATTGAGGCCCCGTCCACACGAAGTCAAAACGAACACGAAACGCTAATATTTTCCAGAACGTTTGTCGTAAAGACGGAGACGTAAAATAAATGTGATCGACCACACGAATGCATGAAAACGCTGCAAAATGTATGCCAGGCCTGTAAGTGGCGCTGTGGTGCCAAAGCAAAAATAGGCGAAAACAGGCAACGAAATGTTGGGCATGCGCAGTAATATTTATACAACAACCAAACCGGAAAACCGGAAAATGGCCCTGCGGGTCCATTTTCGTGGTTCAGTCAAATTGAAGTGATGAATTATGTCGTCTATATTGCTCTGTTCTTCCTGGAGACATTCCAGAAGAAGAAGAATCTGTTGTAAGCCCGACAGCAGGGTGAGTAGTATGAGCAGCAACCATTCAACACAGTACGGCGCCATTGTTGTTGTGATACTGTGTCGCGCATGCGTGTTTAGAGGCGACGCTATGACGCATGCGTGTAAAAAAAAAAAAGCGGTTAGAGCTTAAAGATGGAAACGCGAAAACGCCGTTTCAAAATCTTCCCACTCTGAAGGCTTAATAAAAAAAAGATCGTTTACAGACCCCGAGACGCCGGTTTCGTATGGATTAGAGGCTGGTTTGGTGAAAAATTTGTGGGTTTAGGCCAGGGTTTGACTTCGTGTGGACGGGGCCTAAATCAAAACAACTTGAGTTCATCAGGGCTATTCTCCGTTAGGTTAATATATATTTCACTGGCCAGATGTATCTTCTCAAAACAGCAGCCCTCCCCTTCATGCCATGAACGAGGCCGTATAACTTAGTCTTATCTCTCATGACCTTCATTTGGAGCCTGTGGGGCTAAGAAAAAACATACCTCAACATTTTTTACTCCACACCAATCAGATCAACAGACTTGTTGTCAGACTTTAAATGTCTAAAAAAATGGAATACATGTTCATTTGCAAGAAGAAAAGCCTGCAAAAGCCCTTTGGAGAGGATCACAACTCAACAAATCAGATGATAACCTTTAAGCATCTCTAAAATAGCTCAATTTCTTCCAGATTGTGTCCCTATAGATTGGAGTAATTCATATCATTATTACCCATGAATGGCAGCTCAATTCCTGCCACACTCACACATTAATATTCTGATTGGTGGTTTATTATCTGTAACTGGAACTCTGCTCGGCAAACCATCCCACATTCCTTGTCCCTGATTGGCTGCATTGTGTCGCTGAGCTTACCGTTGCTGGCACGCTGGTGCTTTATTGTTAGCATTTCCACTCCCGAGAGCCTGGCTTTCCTCATGGCGGAGGTGGCACGCGGACAACCCGACAGACTGCAGGCAGCAACCACAAGCAAGCTTTCCGTCAGTATATTGGTTTAGGGCTTCCATATTGCTGTTACAGACTGCCTGTGGTTTATTTGGCATGAGCTTAAACAGACATTCTTTACTGGTGTCAGACTAGGAAAACCAGTAGGTTGTTAAACAGAAGAGTTTTGTTCATAGGTTAAAAAAACAAAAAACAAAAAAAAAACATCAGACATCAATATTTTTTTTTTAAAATAATGCTAGCTGTTTTATTCCTCTGGACAAGTATTTGTTAGTGATTGTCTTACAGTAGGTCTCACCAGATTCTGTAGATTTTACTTCTGTGCAAAGTTGCATTTTTTATTAAGTTATTGATATTTGAGCCAATATATATGTACTTTTTTGTGAAAAGCTTGTTAGTTGAAAGTAGCATGATTTTCTCTAAAGTTTCTTGTTATTTGGATTGTGGACATTGGAAAACTCTTTGGACCAGCAGTCGTGGACTCTTCACCCTGGACTTAAGGCAACTGGAATTCTGTGTCTTTCTGAGACCTTGGTATCAGAATCAAATAAAAATATTACTTTTATCTGAAATGAGGACCAGTGAGCAATAGGCCAGGTTCTGGATAAAGAGTTGCTTGATATGAGGAGCATAACATATTTCGTCCATGTGTTGGATTTGTCTGTGCATAACATTGACATTGCAAAAAAATTTTGTTTATACCGTATTTATCAATATGAAGATTTTTGCACTGATTTGGCTCCTCAAATTTCCATCTGATGCAAACTCAAGTACTTCTACTTCCTTTTTTAAATGCAACATTTTCTAAGGAAGACTTCAAATGAATCAGGTAAACTTTTGTCATTTTAAAACACAATTTAAATCTTATTTATACAGAGAAAAAGCATCTTAAAACTATGCACCTGAGATGATTACAGGAAGCTATGGTTCAGAAGTCCAGGGAAACAAAAAATCATAACGTTTCACATGTCTGTTAAATTACTAGGATGTTATTTGCATACAAACAACAAATTCAAATTTTCCCATTCTCCAGCCTTTTCTTGTTTCCTTGAGCTCCTTTTCCGAACATACGGCTTTACGATCAACCGGAAGCATTTCCGTGCAGATATATCACGATATATTATAGCTGGCTATATAATGTAACTGCCGCAGTTTTTCTAACTATAAAACTAAAAACAAAAAAATTAAGCATTTTAAATGCCACGATACTCACATTTAATGAATTTGAATGCCAATAAAGGCCTTAATTAAAAAAACAATAATTTTATGACTTTTAATTATTTTTAATGACCTGTGGAAACCCTGATATTAATTACATGTAATAGACAGCAGGAAGTGCTCTTTCCATCCCTGGACTCACCTTCTGTGTGTCAGGAAGCTGCCGCTAACATGCCCCGAACCGTCGCAGCCTGGGGTTGGACAGGACATGCCCTCTGTCTTTCCAGACTTCCATGTAAACTGAATTCCATTCAGGTAGCCATCTTTTTGCCTCTTGGCTGCTATGGGGCATCCTGAAGCACTTCTGTGGGATGCGTATTTTCCCGTCACATGTCCCTGACCGTCACAGCCTGGGACCGGACACCTGGGAGGGGATGGAGGCAGACTGAGTAATCACCAATTTTATCGTGTAATAAAAAAAAGACCTTCTGTTCCAAACCACTGGCTCCTTAAAACTGCAGATATATGATCTGAAGTAAAAGGGCAAAACTTAAGTTTAGATGTTTTTAACTGGCAGGCTTATGCAGAATGATAGAAGCATCTAGTTTGTTCTAGACAGATAAAATAAAGCTTTGTCGACAAGTGTAAACTTCCTGGTCTGAATTTACCTTTGAGTTGATATAGTTTTAAGATTTACTGAAAAGGTGGAACATTTAACTTTACTTAAAGAGAAGTTTGTTAATATTAGCATGTTTGTTTTCATAAAGCCTCCAGACTTTAAGAATTTACCCAATTATACATGACTTTCTACAGGGAAAGATTAACAGGCCTCTTTAGGTGAATCTTTACCGTAAGCAGGGATTATATCTCTACTATTAGCTCTTCTCAATCAATTTTTGGATCAATTAGTAATTTTAAATGTTTAAATAAATAAATACCAAGCTTTTCAATCCCCTTCCCATCTTTAATTATCATCTTCCCAATCAAAGACAATACTTTCAAGTTTGTTCAGATCTTTAGATTCAGGATTTAAAGACTTGTGGTCAGAAGATTTATCCTGATTTAATCAGTTTATAGCTGTTACAGGTGTAACACCGAGGCTATTCAGACAACACACAGTTACAGAACACCATACAGGTCTAATTGGTTATGAATCAAAAGTTTAAGCAAATCATCAAACCAACAACGTCATCTTGTTACCTAAAAGTTAAACACAGGATTTTACGGAAGCCGAGAGCGGTCGTTACCCTTCAATACTTTTTCCCGGCGGTTTTCCCGAGAAAACCAGTAATTTTCTCATTATGTTAAGATAACGAAAGCCGTTTTATTGTGATAACGAGATGATTGGTGTTTGTTAAAACTGGTTACATCCTTCAATACCACAACAACGGGCGAGGATTTATAAATATAAGTCATGTCAGCCTATGTGTAATTCTATAAATAATCACGTGTTTAACTTATAGGTAATGAGACAACGTTGTTGGTTTGATGATTTGCTTTCATTTCTGATTTATAAGCAATTAGACCATAGCGCCGGGTGTTGTCTGTACAGCCTGTAGCTGTTACACTTGTAACAGGCATAAGATTCATTAACCCCCAAAATGAGTCCAGATCAAGAATTTTCATTAAAAAGCAGATTTGTTTCTACCGTATTCCATGCAATCCAATCTTCCACCACAACCTAACAATGTGTGAAAAGAAAAAGGAAACAAAATAATTGATTATTTGTGCACACGTGGTATCGTGACTGCACAACTACAGGCACCGCAGGCATGGATGGACTGGGAATCCAGGAGTGTTGGCCAGCCTCATTGATTACTCATACAGGTTAATCATCTCGTTATCTCGAGAAATCAATAACTGTTTTCTCGAGATAACAATTAACGGTTTAACCGTGATAACGTGATATTTATGTCATTATCTCCAGAAGGCAAAGGGGAAAATAAAAGTCAAGTACGACCGCTCTCAGCTTCTGTACGTATTGTCTGTCCAGTTAGCACATTCATGGTTTAAAAGTTGTCACACTTATCTAGACTAAAGTTGGGTTGAACTTGGTCTTAAAATACACATTTCTTGCCTAAATTTTCAGCTTAATGCGGCCTATACTGAATTCAGGCCAGAGATTGATAGATTTTGTATGAATTTCATATTTTAGTAAGTACCCTGATTGATGGTTTTAACTACAGAATGTAGTCTACTCCCCATTTGCTTTTATTGCAATTGATTTTTCAGCTTTTTATCTCAGAAAACCTTTATAGTATTAGAAAATATATTTGCAGGAGTTGTTTGTTTCAGATTGCATTTGTTTTATTTCCAAATACTTATCTTTATATGAAAACTGTGCCATAAGAGGGGCTGGTATGACAGGCCTGAATTCAACAGAATGACAAGCTGGAGAATGAATAAAGTGTGTTGTTTGTGCTCTGCGCCACCTGAGAAATCAATGCAGCTGCAGGGCTGAGGCCACAGAAACCCATTGTGGGATTTAGGCAGAGTCAATCAATCTCTCTCTGCTTCTATCGCTACTTCTCCGCTCGCTCGTCTCTTTACCTACGTGAGAGGTCTTCAGGAGTTCACCTGAGACCGCAGAACAACCTCCATCTAAACTCTTCGCACTTCTGAAGTTCCTCCTACACCTTGATAGTAGAGCCAAAACTTTACACTCTTGGCACATTTGTCTTGTCTGAACTAATACTGATTTATTCCTGCTTACAGGGATGTGTGCGGTCGAACAGGAGGGTAAGCAGCGGCTGCACAAGATGTGGTGGAACTGATTAGGAAACACATAAAATCAGTTTTGAAGCAGGAAATGAAAAGTCATATGTCACAGGCAGTGACCAGTGAGCAGAGTTGGTGGCAGGAGGAAGTTCTAGCCTCAGGGTTTTACGATCAGACAAAAGACTGATGATCTGTGCCTGTGCTCTACCTGATGGGCTCCTGGTCCTCCTTATTCTCTTTACTGTGGATGATCTTTATCCCACTTTTCCTGGCCCGCGGACACCCTGAAAGACTGCAGACAAATAACAGAGTTACATGGCTGAAATAGGTTTGCTGAGATGTATGTTGTGTCTCTGAGATGTACCTTCTGTGGGAAGCGTAGTTACCAGTGATATGTCCCGAACCATCACACCCTGGTGTCGGACACCTGGGGCACAAAACATATAAAGGGCTCAGGGCCTAACACACATATACAGGTGCTGGTCATAAAATTAGAATATCATGAAAAAGTAGATTGATTTCAGTAATTCCATTTAAAAAGTGAAACTTGTATATTATATTCATACATTACATACAAACTCATATATTTCAGATGTTTATTTTGTTTAATTTTGATGATTACAAATGACAACAAATGAAAATCTCAAATTCATCATATCAGAAAATTAGAATATTGTGAAAAGGTTCAAAATTGATGGCCCCTGGTGCCACACTCTAATCAGCTAATTAACTCAAACCACCTGCAAAAGCCTTTAAATGGTCTTTCAGTCTAGTTCTATAGGCTACACAATCATGGGGAAGACTGCTGACTTGACAGTTGTCCAAAAGACGACCATCGACACCTTGCACAAGGAGGGCAAGACACAAAAGGTCATCGCTAAAGAGGCTGGCTGTTCACAGAGCTCAGTGTCCAAGCACATTAATAGAGAGGCGAAGGGAAGGAAAAGATGTGGTCGAAAAAAGTGTACAAGCAAGAGAGATAACCGCACCCTGGAGAGGATTGTGAAACAAAACCCATTCAAAAATGTGGGGGAGATTCACAAAGAGTGGACTGCAGCTGGAGTGAGTGCTTCAAGAACCACCACACACAGACGTATGAAAGACATGGGTTTCTGCTGTCGCATTCCTTGTGTCAAGCCACTCTTGAACCACAGACAGCGTCAGAAGCGTCTTGCCTGGGCTAAAGAGAAACAGGACCAAAGTCATGTTCTCTGATGAAAGTAAATTTTGCATTTCCTTTGGAAATCAAGGTCCCAGAGTCTGGAGGAAAAGAAGAGAGGCACTTCATCCACGTTGCTTGAAGTCCAGTGTAAAGTTTCCACAGTCAGTGATGGTTTGGGGTGCCATGTCATCTGCTGGTGTTGGTCCATTGTGTTTTCTGAGGTCCAGGGTCAACGCAGCCACATACCAGGAAGTTTTAGAGCACTTCATGCTTCCTGCAGCTGACCAACTTTTTGGAGATGCAGATTTCATTTTCCAACAGGACTTGGCACCTGCACACAGTGCCAAAGCTACCAGTACCTGGTTGAAGGACCATGGTATCCCTGTTCTTAATTGGCCAGCAAACTCTCCTGACCTTAACCCCATAGAAAATCTATGGGGTATTGTGAAGAAGAAGATGCAATACACCAGACCCAACAATTCAGAAGAGCTAAAAGCCACTATTAGAGCAACCTGGGCTATCATAACACCTGAGCAGTGCCACAGACTGATCGACTCCATGCCACGCCGCATTGCTGCAGTAATACAGGCCAAAGGAGGCCCAACTAAATACTGAGTGCTGTACATGCTCATACTTTTCATGTTCATACTTTTCAGTTGGCCAACATTTCTATAAATCCTTTGTTTTTATTGGTCTTCAGTAATATTCTAATTTTCTGATATGATGAATTTGAGATTTTCATTTGTTGTCATTTGTAATCATCAAAATTAAACAAAATAAACATCTGAAATATATGAGTTTGTATGTAATGTATGAATATAATATACAAGTTTCACTTTTTAAATGGAATTACTGAAATCAATCTACTTTTTCATGATATTCTAATTTTATGACCAGCACCTGTATGTGCTGACTTTTGTGTAAAACAAATCTTGTATAAATCCCTTGCAGATTTATGTTTAGATTTATTTTTAAATCTAGAACCTGTTTTGGAGTAGCCTGACCAGAACCAAGACTTGAAGATCGATAAGAAGAATCCAAGAGGGAGATAAAGATTAGGACAACGGCCCTGTGGCCCGAGCATCACAGATCTTCTGTCAACAATGAGCATGAGGTTTATTTACCAAATATTTTGTGTTTTTTTTTTTTTTCCCATGCAAACCTAAAAATCCAAAATCTTAAATTTCAGTCTGTCTTTATACTGGGGATGGTAGGAAAAATTTTGTATATTGGCATGGATAACAGATACAGTTATACATATGCCTGTTCATATATTTATGGAAGCAGTTTTATTGCAGATTTTTTAAATGTAAGCAAAGGAAACTTTTTTTAAAAATCTGCTTTATAATATAATATTACTCAAGTTGTGTCGTAACAATTTAAATAACATGCAGTTTACCAAACCTTTCTAGCTATTAAGTTACTCTGATTTTGGCAAGTTAAGAGCAGTAAAAGTTTTTTTTGTTGGTGAGTATTTTTATGTAACATTATATCTTTATCACAGAAAAAAGATTAAACATTACAAACAGAGAATAATAAAAAAAATATACATATATGTATTTATTTTTTATCATTCTCTCTATATTTTTTCTTTATTCTCTCTCTCTCTTTATATATATATATATTTTTAATTATTATTCTCTCTATATATTTTTTGAATCTCTATCTATCTATCTATCTATCTATCTATCTATCTATCTATCTATCTATCTATCTATCTATCTATCTATCTATCTATCTATCTATCTATCTATCTATCTATCTATCTATCTATCTATCTATCTATCTATCTATCTATCTATCTATCTATCTATCTATCTATCTATCTAGTCTATCTATCTATCTAGTCTATTTCTATAATTATCCAGACCTGGAAAATACTTCATATATATCATATTATAGTGAGAGATTTTGCATTACAAACAGAGAATACTGTTAAAAAAAAGATAATCTAATTCTGAAGTACCATTTTGTTGAATTAGAACAGGGATACAGTCTTGGAAAGTCAAACAGCACACATCTCTACAGAGTTAGTCATCTAAAACCTTACTTGAGTTCTTGTGCATTGTTTGCCAGCATGCTTCGAATGCTTTTATCAGCCAAAGGACAACCTGAGAGACTGAAAACATACACAAGCACAATGTCAGATTACTTTGAATGAACAATAACAGTTAACATCTCAAACCAGAACACATGCATGAGTCAAATATCAACCAGGAAGTGTAAAAAAAAAAGGCATGATGCAAGTGCAAGGAGTTGATTAAAGAAAAAAGACAAACTTTTAGCCTCTGAAGGTAAAGAAATTGAAGCTTTTTTCAAATGGGACAGAATGTTAAACTCATAAGAACTTTGCTGGAATTGAGCGGTTGGGCAAGTCGGAAGATCCATGCAGACTCATCTGCTCTGCAGCACTCAGCACTTCTGCTCGAAGCTTTTGAATGGTAAATTGCACAGTCTGCACTGGACTGTGAGAAGGTGCCTGGATGACTAAATTACATCAGCTTAGAAGGCTTTAAAGGTGGCCCACTGAGATTTTTTTATTACCCAGAGCCTTTCCCCAAAATAAGTATCTGTCGATATTTAATTATATTTTTTTATGTCTTGCTTCTGCATGTCATTATTCAACGAGCTAACAGAGGCAAGGGAAACCCTGCCTACATGTGGTTGACAGCATAGTCCAGGTAAGCTGAAAACAATAAGGAAACATAGACTTAGACTCCACCAGGAGAAAAGGAAGTCACACCTTCGATGTGAGGCGAAATTGCTCGTCAAGTGACCACTTCCATCACACCCCGGTGTGGGACATCTGCCACCGGAAAAATAGACAGATTTATAAGCCCAGAGGGAAGGAAAGGAAAATGTGATCATCACAGGAAGAAAGGGGGATTTAAAAAAAAATAGTTTTCATTGTTTCCAGTTTAGCTTCACTGTCTGTGAATAACCTGGTGGTGCCTGAGAAAGGCTTCTGTTCATGTGGAACGATACTGACAGCTTGAAATGTTTCATGGAGATAGCCACTGAATGAAAGTCATATAGAAACCCGGCAGCACAATGTGGGGAGGAGGAAAGCAGAAGAGTTGGATAACCGAACAGAAAGATGCAAGGGTGCATGTCAATAACTTGCATTATTTCACAAGACCTAATCTATTTCTCTAATTTATTAAAACATTAAACTTGTGTAGAAATATTACAAATAAATTCAGCTATTTCTATAATTTACTTTTGCTAATACTTATATATATTAAGTAGTGTTGCATCGATACCGCTGGTATTGGGTGGGGCCCCCATCCAGAACTAAAATGGTGGAATCGTATCGGCGAGTACCAACAAACAGGGCACCAATACCATTTTGAGAGCCAAAAGTTTATTCAACTATTGTCACCCATTCCAGGTAGGCAATAAACGTTGTACTGGATTCACTTTGTATTAGTCTTTTTCCTGCTTCACAAAGGTAGGCAGCAGCTTGACAAAGCCATGATGGCAATAATTTTACATCCAAGCAGTATGCAGTTTTTCATATAAACACACACATCAATTTCAAACAGATGCCATCGGTATGGTATCGGTATCGGCCAATACTGCACAGCCAGGATCGGGTATCGTATCGGGGCCAAAAAATGGCAGCGGCTCAACACTAATAATAAGACAAATTAATAAAGTATTTTCTTACTAAAATGGCAGCCTGTTGAAAAATCCTAGATTAAAAACTAGATTATTGGCACACTATATTTGGTCAGAACTTCATTTGTAGGACTTATGACATAAATGTGGGGAGAGAATCACCCTAAGGTGTTCAAGAAGACAGGTTTGCGATCTAGCAGCATTTAGATCTCGTTGAAACGAGTTTCTCACATTCCTATCATTCCCTATCTCCAGTGTGCCCCAGGTTATCTGTGGCGCTCTATAATCTGGAAAACTTTTGGTGATTATGGGTAGGTGTCAAGTCCTGTTGGAAAACAAAATCTGCTACCCTATAAAGCTTGTAACCAGAGACATGCTTAAAGAAAGATTTCATGCTAGACAGCTTTGGATGTCAGAGATGTCATGTCTTCCACCCTACCATTGAACGCAGAGGCTTCACACTGAACCACAACCTAGATTCTGTGCCTCTCTGTTCTTCCAACAGACTCTGGAAGTTTGGTTTAGCTTGATTAAAATCATTCAAAATGCATTTTTCAACTCATAACAGGACTTTGGGTCCAGTGATCTTTTCTTCTCTTCAGCCCATTCAAGTCACATTGTCTAGGAGAGGATTAGGAGTGGATTTACAGAAAAAAATGGTATAAGTTCAGGTACTTTTCTACCTTTTTTCACACTTTATCTTTTCACTTAGTGCCATTTATCATACATAGATACCACACAGTGTAAATGGCCTTCTAATTAGGCGTTCACCTTTTATGACTTCTTTTGGCTGTGATGATTTGTAGGCCATAACATTTACCTTGGCTTTAAGCCATTAACAGATATAAAAAAGCATTATGTTGAAGGCCTATATAATGAATCTGTGGAAGTTTTTCACTTTACACTAAATGAATGAAAGATACACTCTTCTTAATGATGTTTTGAGTTATTGAAATGCACCTGGAAAATGAAGGGTATAAAACAGAACATGACTGGGACAAAGCAAGTGGGTTCAGGAGGAAAGAGAAGGAGGCTCCTTACGTTATCAGGTCCTTCTTACTCTCTTTGCACTGCGCATACTTGGGCTTGGGGCTTGGCATGTTTACATCAGTGGTGTAGGAGCGATCCTCCAGCAGGTCATGGAAGGGGTCCAGATCATCGGGCTGAGGAGAAGATGGAGACACAAATTATTTTCACTCATAATCATCTCAGGACCTTTGCCTTTATGCTTCCATGTGCCCCATCTAAAAGTGAAAGCTCATATTCTGGAGTGAATCTATTACTGTCAGCTTCCTTCTTCTTTGTCTACTTTGCACACATATATGATGTGCATATCCAGGCTAGCTCGTCTTCTCAATTTGAATGCAAATTGGTGAACCAGTGTGAATATTGAGCCAGTCATTCAACAGCCAAGAGGAAATAATGCCAAACAAATGGTGTGAGTGGCCTCGCTTGCAGTCATTCCTAGGTGTGCAGCACTTGTCTGTAGGTATGGAGTATTCTGGGAGTTGCCTCCTGTAAGGAATAAATCTATCACTAGATGGCACTGTGGTGTGGTACCAGACCGGTGCTGAATATGCAGTGTGAGGCTAAGCTTTTGTCTGCAGTGCATGCAACTAAGGCACAATGCACGTTGATGCAAATACCATTTTCCTTTCTTCTATATTTTACAGTGTGTATACAGTAATGGCCATTAAAAGAGAAGTCCAGATAAAGACCAGATTGGCTAACTGTCAAACCAGTTTCTCCAATTAACGGTGCAGTAGAAAGGAGACTGACACATACATGCAGGAACAGGATGCAGCAAGGAAAAAGTAGGGTACATGGATGGGACTCACAAACTGACTCTGACACCCTCCCAAAGAGACGAGGGTGCAGCAGACACGCTCTTATGAATATTCACACACAGCAAAGCAGGCCTGTGCACCCACACAAGCACACGCATCGGCGCTCCGACAGGCGCACCCAGCAGTGGTGCATTGATTTCCAGCAGTTCTTTGATGAGATGAGCTATTCCGACTCCCTCCCAAGGTGCTACTTTGCATAATTCATTTTGGAGAGGAAAGAAATGTAAAAACAGAAAGCCAGCATGCGGGGAGAGCGGAACAAACAGGGCAAGTGACTCCTTTGCAAGGCAAGGCTAATATTAGTTAACAGGCAGATTCATTAGGTTCATCTAAAAATTTCTAATAAAAAAACCTTTCTCTAACTTTCTACTGAGCTGTGAGGAAAAGTAAGGTCGACCCAAATGTAAGAATCCAAGAGCACACTGCAAATGTTTGACTTGGAGACTGTGTTTAATCAATGGCTGCAGGGAGATTCTTCCAGTCTGTGAAAAGGCAACTGCTGCTATATAATTATCATCAGGGACAAAACTGTGTGCTGTTTGTGCTCTCTTCTATTCTTCCCTCCACTGCTTGTTTTTGTTTGTGTCTCCCCACTCTGTCGCTAAGATTTCTGAGAAGACAGTTTGTCTGTGATGGAGACTCATAAGACAAACAGGAGGGCGGCCTATTAAACCCAACCTCATACAGCACGCAGAGCAAAAAAGTTAACTTTTCAGCCCTTATTTTACTTCCAATGAGCCAAACTTTCTACCTAACCTTTAAAAAACATTTTCTAAGAACATGATCCATTTATGTACACGTCTCCATTTCTATGAGACACACCTGTTAGTTACTCTGACACGGACTGTGTGAAAACAACCTAATCCATTTATGCATGCAGATGTGCTACCGATGTTCATCAGCATCACAGGCAGGACAGAATATGTGACACTGAGACTGTGACATGGTATTTGGTGCTAAACTGACTGATCTAAGCAGATATCCGTCGGTTTTTTATAAACAATTTCTTAAGTCTGGGGAAAGTGGTCTAAGAAAAATATTCCACTAAGTTGAAACTATGTGGATGAAAATACAGGAAAGGACAAACTAGGTGTAACTAATGTCAAATAAGAATAGGAAACTGAGTCTACTGTTCATACAAACAACACAGATTCAACATCAAGGAGTTAAAAAAGTTGTTTGTTCTCAATTTGAACATTTGAGATAAGGTCAGAATCCTGGTTCATCATCCAGAATCAGGTTTCTGATGGAGGAAGTGTGATGATTTGGGGGATATTTTTGTGGTCAGCTTTGGGCCATTTAGTACCAACTGAGCATTGGTAAAGTCCCAATGTCTACCTGTGATAGTTGCTGAATATGACCAACCATTTTACATTGTTTGACAGCTACTTCATTCACAAAGCTCAAATCAGCCCAAACTGGTTACTTTACTAGTCTGTTCTTATGTGGTCTCCACAGAAACTAAATCTCTGACCAATAACGGAGGAGGGTTCAAATCTTGTCCTTGAAACATGCTTCCATACAGTTAAAAAGCTCTGGAGGACTTGGATTAGGAACCCTTGCAACAGAGCTTATTTTGGATGGGATTAAATGAGAGACTGACATCATGGAGATGTAGGTGAGCGATGCTATCATGCAAATATAGACAACAATCTCTATCAAGGGAGTTCAGCTGGAAAAAGAGGGTTCAACATGGTTTTAGCTAATGTGGCTGGTTTATTCTGGTAAATAATAATTCTTACGATCTGATGCATTGGTTAATGCATATCCAAATTTATATATTTTATCTTTGGACATAGGTCTATATTTTTATAGATTCACAAAAATAAGAAAGATGCGGTCTTTGTACAAGGGTATAAAAAGTTAAACCTTTCCTTAATTGGCTCTTGTCTAGACTGTTGTAGACTGTTGTTGTGTACGAAAGTCTCTTTGTGTCTTAATGGTCAGAGTTACGGCAAAACATTCCTCTGAAAACAACAAGCATCAACCTGAAGAGAGAGAACATATCTTTTTTGAAAGCATGTAATTTAAAATTTAAGGTATTATCAAGGCTATTTAAAAATACTCCATGAAGTTTGCAATGACGGGCTCACAAACCTACAATGTTGCCTTAAGGTTCCACATCCACCCTTTCAAATTCTCCCTGTTTACCTCTTTCTCGTCCTCGTCTATGTGTTTGATCTTGGTGTAGTCTACAGGAAGGTCCCAGCAGTCTGCAGCATCCCCCATGCCGTAGCAGCGGGAGCCCAGCAGGGCAGCTTGCCTCTGGGGGGACATGGGCTCTAGCGGGGTGAGTACCGAGTCCCCCGCGCCACCGCCGCACAGACTCTTGCCCATACTCAGGTCCAACGTACCATTCTCATCAACATCTAGACCGGGGCTCTGCAAGGCGTTTATGGGGGTGAGATTTTTTTTTTTTTCAATGTGTTTGTGTGTGCAGGTAAAGGGAGAAGATGTAGAGGTGGGTTAAATGGTTAGGGGAAATGATAGGGAGATACATATAACAAAAGAAAGCAGGGATGAAGAGAAGAGGATAAAAGACAGAGAGAGGTTCTGATTAATTAGCAATCAAACATGTTAATCTTTGATGGGCTAAGCAGTGGATTATATTTACCCTATAAATATAGATCTTATCATTACTAAGTTATTAAGGAATATAAACCGGTATAAGAACAAGTGCAGTTTAAAAAACAATTTTTTATTACCCCAAGAAAGAAAAAAATATTCTTGCAGAGAGGAGTAGCAATGTTTACCCCTCAGAAGGTCAAAAGAGGAGGAGGTTCATCAGCTCTCAAGGACAAATGCATCCGTGTGAAGCCCTCCTCCATGCCTCTCTCTGTCTTTTTCTTTCCTTCCATGCCTCAGTGCTATGCACTTTGCAGTCTGAACCGTGTGCGTGTGTTGGCCATGTGTGAACCTAATGTGACTGGACATCACAGGGGGCGCAGGGGACGAAGGTTACGGGTTGCAAGCAGCAGCATCACTCCGCAGCAAACCCAGAAATAGAGGCAGAACTCTGAGGTGTTCTAAATAAAGTTAGGTTGTCACTTTTCTTTTACATATTAGGTTTCCTTGCTAAACTGCTTATTTTTATCTGCTTAAAAAACACTTAAGTTCCGGTTTTCCCCTTTAAAATTATGATTTTTATTTTTTCAAAGTTTTACTGGTTACAGTAGTTATGAGCCACTGGTATCTTATCTGCAGCAGGTAAAAATCAGAAGAAGGAGGCTTATTTCACGGATTATGTTTTATTTGACGTCAAGCGGCTCACTGACCTGAGGAACGCATGGCACAAGGGTGCATTATGGGGAAAAGGCAAGTAGAAAGAGGCAGTGTTATGCTTTTAGAATATAGATATTACTCTGATATCTTTAGATATTACTATCTGGTAGACTGTGTGCAACCAGTCATTGTATCAAGAACGACCAATACATTATTGTCCACCAATGATTGGTGATTATTTACATAAATGAAATAATAAGTACATATGTGTGTGAAAAAATAAACAAAAAGAATATTTAATGCACGGAAATATTAAGTAAACATTTTAAAATTCCAAAGAAAGCAGACAATAATTTGGAATTGATGAAATATTACTCTCAATAATAAATGGGGCCTTTTGTTGCCTTGATGCAAAACTAACGTTTACATCATCGCCAGAAATCCACTCAATAAATGGAGAATTGATTAAAACAATAAAGAAACGAATAAATAAATAAAGCCGATAAAGCTAAGGTAAATCAATTCATTCATTTATTCCATAGGTTTAATTTCACAAAGGTAAAAAAAAATAGTTATTTTCTTTTTTATGAGTGGATAGAGTCATAACTGCTGACTAAAACGATGGTACAAGTCTGGTGGACTTCTGCTGTCCTGCCAGAATATTTTGGCAGCAAAAATGCATAAAGGTAATGGAAGCAACATAAAAAAATGTTGAACAACTAGCCACAACTTTTTGTTGGGTTAATCAATAGCCACGCTGTCAATATTTCCCTCAGCTCTGACAAACTATTAATTTAACAATGCAGTAAACTGCCAAAAAGATACTGACTGCTCAGAACTACCTCATACAATCCTACTTTATTAAACAAACTGTCGGAATAGGCTTCGATGGGATTTTTGTTTATGCATTGTTGGATGCTTCTGTGCCTTCTTTGCCTTTAACCCTTTTTGCTTATCTTCTGTCTCCTCCTTGTTTTCTTCACTCCAATTTTTCCAGTCTTATGAGGAGGAAAGCCCGTTTTAATACTGACTCCAGTTGACAGAGTCCCTAAGGGTGGATTCTCCTCATGTCTGAAGCCAAACTCTGTGTGATACACTCTGACTCAAACACACGGGGTGATAGATTTGCATCTGGACATGAATACTGCAACAACTGTAGCAGCATAAATAGGGGAACACAGACAATTTTTATTTCTCACTGCTAAATAAGATCACTAAAAGGTGAATAATTTAAATTGGGATGCAAAACACAAAATACTGATCATCAAAGATAAAAAAAAAAGTACTAGATTGCTTGTGAAAAAAAAAAATAGAATTAGTGATTTAGTTGCAAGATGTCTACAAAGACTAAGTATGTAATAGACAACGGGTGCAAAAGTGGCCAAATTTAAATGAGGAACTTTGGGTGCCTGCTACTGGCAGTTTTTGGGGAGGAGAGTGGCTATAAGAAAAGAAGCAATTCTAAACAATAAAATTGGAGTTAATAATGATCAGAATTATTAGAAAAAATAAACAATACTTACATTATTAACAAAAAACAAACATTTAGGGTGCACTTTATATCTCAAAGCTCTAAAAACAAATTCAAAACACTCTTCACCAATTTTGTATTGCAAACAAAGGTATCCTGTAATCATTTAATGTAATATAACTGGCCTTTGTTCTGATAGGGAGGCGACTTATGTAATTTTTTTTTGGGATAAATTCCTTTGCAGGAAGGAGGTTTTGCAGGAAGGTGCATTTTAGTAATCAGAATATGATCTGCATATTTATAAAAATACATGCTAAATAGCTTGGGCCTGCTGCTCAACCTATTTTAGAAATTCATGCAAGTCATTTGATTTGCACCTGTGAAGTAGATCAACTTTTTGCAGCTCATCGCGTTTGGCTATTTTGTATACATTCAAACCCTTAAAAGATGAAGCCCAAAGATTGCCTTATACCAAATCTGTGCTCCTGTTTGTAAAACCTGTTCGGTAATGACACCCAAGTAATAATATTAAAGAGGAGGAAGCAGAGGAGAAGCAGAAAATGAAGATAAAAAAATAGGAAGAAATTTAGTTGAATAAAGGTCACGTTGCTGCAGAGATCCTCGCTGGTTGAGGCTTGTTCTTATGGATGTCTGCAGCAGATCAGCCTCCTCTTGTTAGCTGTTTTACTGTATATCACTGTCAGATTAACACGACCCACCCTTTCATATCCAATTACCAAAGATGATGTGTAAGGACACCCTCCATCCCCCACTCTCATTAAAGGCTGCTTTTCTCTAATCTTGCCCTGTGGTAACCCATGACCTTTGCTGCTGCTGGTAAAACCTGGGCTGAATGGAGTCTGCAGGAGGTTTCCCACTCTGACAAATCTAGCTCAACTCAATCACTCAGAAGTGATCATTGTTGCAGTTTCCCAGCATGATCAAACACTAGGATTCTTACACTTCATGGCCACTTTGAGGATGTGATGCATGAGTTTATGTACATAAGTCAAAAAACATAACTTTTTTTAAACCAAAAAGGTCAATAAAAATTGTCAGCTAATTGAGGTCTTGTGCCAAGCGTTTGATTGCAAGCATAGATGGGTCCATCCATACAAATAAAAAAAATATGGCAGATTCTGCAAAGAACTGATTTACCAAACAGAAAAATTATTTTAAATGCATGCCCATTTTAGCCCGCTGACGAAGAGAAACAATCAAATATCCATCTTTCTGTATGCTCAACATTATCAAATCTAGAAAAGACAAAATGTTGTTGTATTTAACAGCTTTTTGCACATCTTTTCAAGATGTAAACCATGAATATAAAAACTAGAGGCAATTTGTCTGTTTGATATCGGATTCAGAGACCTTGAGTGATATGGACTATAAATAGGCTGGCAATGAAGAAGAGTATATGTTTGCTTTGTCAGAAAAGTCAAATTTTTTTGCTAAATAAATGAAATGAGGTGTGTCTGGATTCATATGGTGCCAAATTCTGCCACATTGTTTGTTGAAAATAGCCAAAAGACAACTTCTTACTTCAACTACCCCCACCTTTTCTCAGGACCTGTTGCCCTGCATCTTTCAGATGTTTCTTTTTCTCAGCTCACCTGATTCAACCAATGCTTCATTAACAAGCATTTGCTGAACCCGATGGCCTGCTGAAGGCGTAATTCAGTCAGGTATGTTGGAGCGGCGAAACTTCTAGAATAAGCAGGTCAATAAGAAGACCCAGGATTGCTCATAGGAGTCGTGAACGTCAAAGGTTTTGGTTGAAACAAAAATCCTGTGTAAAATACTACATTTTATTCCTTCAGCAACAAAACCAATGAAGTGATTGTGAGAGAAATAGGTGGATGGACTGTGTGTAAAAAAATAAAAAGGCACGAGGTGGGAAATCGTGTGTGCATGTGAGGCTTCGTTCGACTCAGCAAAAAAGCAGCGTGGGCCAAGAGGTGAAGTGTTGAGATGAAAGGGGAGGAAGGAAAACAGAATCCTCTTAAGTCCCTTATTCTGTCCTGAGAGTTTCCTGCTCATCTTTTTCCCAGAGCGAGGGGAGGTGGTGGGGGTGGGTGAGGGCTCAAAATGAAATGAGTTAAAACTAAAAAAAGGTCCTTACTGCTGTGGGGGCTGGTCCCACAAAGTTTATTTTGTCCCAATTTCCCCTGAAAATAAGCTGCTTTTGCCCCATTTCCCCTTTACTCCTCTCCTAGTTGATTTTACTCAGTCTTCTTCTCCTTTGCGTTGACATTTAAAAATCTCCACCTCAAACCCTCTTTCTTTTTTTTTTTCTTAACTCCCTCACTCTGATTTTCCAGCAGTCCTCTCTGTCAACATAAGCCAATGTGCACCTCTGCTGTGCGCTCCCTCTCTGGCCTCCATTTTCCAGCTTAGCATCTGGGCACAGATAATACAGGAGCACTGTCACCTTATCTCCTCAGAAGTGACACGCCGGACTCACGCTGTGTCAAACGGCGCTTCGTCCCGGCTCCTATCTGATTCCCAGACGGAAAATAAAAAAGTGGCTTGCTGAGCTCTGAGTGTCAGACACAGCTCCGGGTCGTTCACAAGTCTTGTGCACGTTGGTGTACTTATATGCAGCTCAAATCTCCTTATCTTTGTCAGCTTTCTCTGCCAGCATTAGTATAATGAAGGAAGGAAAGGGATAATCTGGGCATATATTGTTCTGCGCCTGCAGCACAATGCCAACGAATAACAGAGGGACTATTCACTGCATCTTTTTAAGACTCTTAGAAGTCATGTGAAGTTGCGGAGATAAATCAGGAAATGCTCAAATCCAGAAAAACATCTCCTGCTTTAGCCAAATGTTTAGCTGTAGAAGTCAGTCAAATGATTAAGCTTATTATTAAAGTTCAATAAACAAACCTTTCTATATTTCCAAAAGCATGATGGATTTATCTGACTTAAGTTGAAACTGAAATCATGATGTCTTTATAGGCTCATGTCAAGTAAGTTTCATGGTGATCACAAACAATTATGATTGCACTAAGAAATTGTATGATGGTAGACCACCCTACTGTATTAAATGATTGCACTGTATTAAATGTCATGAAAACCCTGGCGCTGAGACTACAAGAGAGAGCAAGACTTTCAGAGATAACAGGAAGACTGAATGGCGTAAAGTTAAGTTGTTTTTTATTCTTTTATGCTTTGAAGCTTTATTACTCTTGTATTATGCAGGATTTGAAATGCTTGTAGCCTATTGAAAATCCTAGAAGGAAGGTCTATACTGCCTGTGATAAGCCATGGGCTCATTAGCGGATACGCCTGTTGGGATTTGGGAACACATTTAGTTTGCCTTTTTAGCATTTTTTGTTTTTTCAGTCTTCCACCAGATGATGTTTGTCAGATCATGGGCTGGCTAAACAATAAGTCCCATCAGCAGCGGGATATAAGTGGAGCTGGCTGCCAGCACCCTAACACCTAAGTACTGACCCCAGTTATAACGCAAGCCTTCCAAGCTTTGGCCCACTTCATCTATTTCTTGGTGTGAAGGAATCTTGCTTCTTTGTTTGCTCCCAAGAAAACTGATGTGCTCTTTGGTTCATCTTTAACTCAAAACTCTTGGAATGCAAGAAATCCTCTGCAGATAGAAACTCTGTTATTAAGACTCTGGCTGGCAGCTCAACTCCTTCTTGTTTCTCTCTAGACCAACTTGCATGATCAAACTCCTTCTAGCTCTACAGATTTTATGATGGCTGAAGAGGGGAGAACCCATTTCTTTGGCCCTTTCAAACAGGGTGCACCACTCTGCTCTGAAATGTATTGAAGTCAACCATCTGCGAATACTTTGGCTACTGTAACAATAAGGCTGGCAACAGTTTAGAGGATGAAGGTTTCCCTATATGTGTTCGGACAGTAGCAGCTAGGTGAGGCCAATATGATACGACCCAGCGCTATTTGCTAAATTAAAGGTAAAGTTTATGCCCTTTTGAAATGAACAAGCTACCTTAAGCATCCATCCTGTTACTGAGGCTGAAAGCTTCGTGATTTGTGCTTGCAACATTTTAGTCAGTCTGACAGTCTGTCTATCCATCCATCTCCCTGCTTGTTCTGGTTTCAATCAAGCAAAAAAAAAATAACAAAGAAAAACCAAAAAAAAATGGAGATTATTGACATGGCTAAAACTGGGTTAAGAACTGTCCAACTTATTGTAAAAATTCTAGAAAGGTTGTGGGAAACCATCCGCTTAGTGAAAGAAATGTGATTTTTTATGATCATGATTGCAGATCATTCAAATTAGGAAAAACAATTTATAAAAAGGGGTACTTAGAACTTAGAGTAATATTCAATAGTAGAAGTAAGATCATCATACACAGAAAAGAGCTGTGTAGCCTTAAATATACCACTAATTGGTCAGGCTAATTGGAAAGAGAAGCTTTAATTTGCTGGGGAGCATAAAATTAGACTCTGGAGAATTCAAAGACAGTCATAAGGTCTTCTGAGTTTAGATTTCCCCCCATTTCAGAGCACATTAGGGTGCAAAGAGAAATGAATGAAGTGATGCAATCATTTGGCCTAATGCCTACAGTAAGAGCTTGCAGGAGCAGTGCTCTTATTTGGAGTCACTTCAATTTTTCAGGTCTAGGTTGATGTTATATGCCTATATAATGAGACCTAAATATACTGAATAAAGAAGTTATTTCATCTGTAAATATCCTATTTCCTGATTACTCTGGCAGGGAAAAAGATCACAAATTTGTATTCGTATGGCTCAGATCTAGCAGGAGGGCTTTACATTGATTTTTCACTGCAGTCAAAACCACAACCCTGGTGAGAATCTTTGTAATGTGAGGTGAAGACGTTGGGGTGCAACCTTAATCTCATAGTCCTTTCTACATGGCTGTGACATTATCATTTCAAAACATTGCCACAGCAAATGCATTTTTTTCAGTGTGATTGATCAGATTTAATCCCCCATCCGCTCCCACCTGTGAGCACAAGTCCTGCGGTTTTCCACCCAGTCCATGAGGCATCTCCCGGCAACGTGTGGAAAGATTGAGGATAGCAGTCGCTGCCATGTGGGCGGCCTCCATGTCATGGCTGTAGTCAAAGCTGCTTTTGCTGCATGTGCTGCTGGCGCTACTGCCCCCACCTCCTCCTCCTGTGCCCCCTCCTCCACCACCACAGCTCAGGCTGCTGTTGCTGCTGCTGGGGGCATAGGTGCTGGTGGTGCTGCTGGCTGAGCTGGAGTTCTTGCAGTATCGTTTGGCTGCAAGGACAAAATTAAACAACAGCTTGTTTTTTTTTGTGTTAATTCTATAATATTTGACTGATTAGAAATATGTAAAACACTTATAAACACAACTTGTAGACTCCACAAAAGACACAAACAATATGAATAAAGCTTTACATTAGAAGACATTGAAAAATTAAAAAGTTAACGATAATGAATCATCTTTGGGTTGCATTAGCCAGTCCTCCTAGCCAACATTTAGGTGTGAGTTGGAAATAAGACTCTGCAGGAATGGATCAAATTGACCATAGTATATGATAGGATTAAAATAGGGCTTGGTAATTTATTGCATCCATCCATCCACTTTCTATCACTCTTGTTTCAAGTGGGGTCGCGAAGGGTGCTGGTGCCTATCTTCAGCTATCTACGGGCGAGAGGCTTGGCACACCCTGGACAGGTTGCCAGTCCATCGCAGGGCAACACAAAGACAAACAGGACAGACAACCATTCACCCACACAGTAACACCTAACCAGAATTAAGAGAAGCCAATTAACCTAACAATTATGTTTTTGGACTGTGGGAGGAAGCCGGAGTACCCGGAGAGAACGCCACATGCTCAGGGAATACATGCAGACCTTATGCAGAAAGACCCTGGGCCAAGAACCGAACCCGGAAAACTTCTTGCTACAAGGCCGGAGTGTTACCCACTGAGCCACTGAACAGACGTGCATTTGCAATATAATCACAATTCAACAAAATGATATTTTTAAATTGCAGAATCACTAGATTTTGGTCACGTGACATTTAACAAGAGTACGAAATTGACTATCTCAATAAAACACAAGCCTGTTTTGCATTGCACAGTTTCTCAAAACGGGGTTGCAGGCTTGATACTGCCACTCTCAAGTCATGCTCAATGTTCAGCTGAGATGGGAGTGGGAGAAATAACGTTGTTAGAGAGAGACAAAAAGTGAGTAAAAACACCCAAATAATATAGAGCTACTTTTTTCTGTCCATTAATGTTTATTATTATTATTATTATTATTGTTTTATTAATGTTTAATTTATTACAATACTAACCCTCCTCCTTTACCCGGTTTGTGACCGGCAAAATGAACCATAAAGAGACACTATGGCGGAGTTACAATTTTTTTTTAACTTTTTTAAACGTTTTCTTTTTTTCCCTTGTGGTCCACCAAGGAGCCTACAAATCACGGTACAACATTAACATGCTGCTGTGTGAATCAAACGCTGTTATTTATTTAAGATAAAATATTTCAAATTCAGTTATTTATGATCAACCTGCGCCGTCAATCCCGGCGCATGTGCGCTTTATTTGCAGTCTGGACGCTGAGGGTAAACATGCTGTGTCTCTGACTGCAGCGCTGAGAGGGACTCCTGCGATAGCGGGGGAGAACGGGGTGGGGATGGGGGAGGCGCCCCACGGCCGCACCTGCCGCTGGAGGACAAGAAAAGGAATGATACGTGCTTTCACGTAAGAGTCTCCAAAAGTCGCTAGATTTGTCGCTAGTCGCTTTTTTGAAAAAGAGTCGCTGGAGGGGTCTGAAATATAGCGACAAAGTCACTGAGTTGGCAACACACAACATTATTACAAATAATATGCCGACGTCACGTCAATCATTATTTTGGCACTTCAGTTCCAGGTGAAATGTTTCTCATATCTAATGTTCTTTTAATTAGACTGCATGTAGGCTAGTAATGATTACTTTGTGGGTTTGATTGGTCTAAAAAGCAGCAACATACAGCTATAAGGACAGTTTGCTCTCACACGTTCTACATTTCACACAACACACACACACCGGAACTTGGCGCGCCCCACCTGTCACGTCTCAATTCCCCACCAGTGGGTCGCGCCACACACTTTGAGAACCGCAGGTTTAGAGGAACAATAAATTCCAATCATGATATTGGTTGAAATAATCAAAATAATAATTTTGGCTAAATTATTCAGCCCTAGTTAAAACAAGGATGCCCAAGGCTAAGGTCAGTTTAGCTTCCATCTAGCGTTTAGCAGAATCCATATTATGCCCACAAACACATGTTGGCTATAATGCATGTCACATTTTAAGGGGCCTTTTTGTCCAATCCTGGATTATTCTCATAGAAATGTTACATAGACTAAAAATGTATAAATTTTTACATAACTCAACTTTGTTCATGTTACCCACGATACTATGTTATGAGAAGAAACATAATGTAATCTGTCATATTTGAGAATAGAGCTCAATGTCATCTGCATAGGGATGAAAGTGAAATGATATTAATCAAATAAAGCATGTATAGGGAAAGTAGAATCAGACATAGTCAATAAAGGCTAAATATAAGGCTGCACTTAAAAAAATGAAATTGTCTAGAGAGCTGTTCTAAACAAAATTTAGTTTTGTTTACACTTTTATATACAAAATGAAAAAATGCCGACTGTGGTTGACAGCTCTAACAGTTCAAACCAAATTCTGTGAGCTAGATATGAATAGAACTATTTCTCAATCACTAATAAAGTATTAAAATAAGTATTTGTTGTAATCCTGCATCTTTCAGTTTAAGTGATCTTTAAGTTTAAAGATTGTGGGAGCTATTCTTCTGCACAGCAGTAGAAACGAGGAACTGATCTTAAAAACAGTCTCAAACTAAATTGCAATGACATGTCATAAGAATGTCTTTAAAAGTCTTATGTTGCTTTAAAATAGTACCATCATATCCTTCGGGGGATGTATCCCTGTGCCCGTGAACTTTGGGTGCAATGGCCCGCTTCCCATACACTTGGTGGTTGTTGCTGCCATCAAAAGCGCTGTAGTCGAAGCTGGTCTTGGAGTACTTCTCCAGTTCCTTGGCCAGGTTGGAGCGGGGCGTGCTGGTGGAGACATTGTTCTTGTAACCATACTGTGGATAGTCCAGTTGTTTGACAAAGCACATAGGCCTGGAAAATAAATGACGAGGGGGTGGAAGTTGGACCGAGGCACTGAACATTGCCCAGGGGGGAGGAGAAGAAACCTGGTTTTTGGTCAAAAAAAATGTGTGGAATGGAGGGTAGAAGGGAACGAGCAGATTCTTGTGGGGGGGGGGGAGTCCATGGAGGGTGAATGAAAATGACTGAAGATGTGGGGCTGTTCTGCTTTTTTTTAAGAAAAAGAAACAGCTTGGAGTTCCTTTTTTGATTAAATGGAATAAAACAGGAAAAATTTGAATATCCTCTGTTTTTCTTTTTATATGAGTCATCATTTGATGTGCATTTAGAGCTTCAATTTAAGCTTTGCGAGAAAACTGTGCCTGATATTCTGTTTGATATGAATGCAAAAATTCAGAATTACACATGACTTTTCATCAAAGCCATTTCATGTCTATCAAAGACACTCATTCAAAAACGCAAGGCCTCAAAAATGATAAATGACACCTATTTTGTTCAAATCTAAAGCGATTTGCCTTGAAGAAGCAGAGGAATGAATGTGCAATCTCTTGGATGAATTCTCAGGGGACGGCAGAACTTAAACATAAAACAAAAAAGGGGAGACATCAGGTCTCAATTACAGAATGTAGAAGAAAAAAAAGAAGTAAATCCCACATGAAATGACTGTTTCACTGGGTTTACATCAGTGCATCCCGTCACAACAAATTTCACAGCTTCATGAAATTTTTAAATTGGAAAAGAGGAGGAAAGAGCTGAGTGAATACTACCTTAAGACTCTGTCAGAGGCTTGGTTGGACTTGGGACCATTGCAGCTCTGATGCTTCTCTTGAGCTTTTGCGAGCTTCTCAGCTGCAGCAATCGGACATCCAGACAGACTGAAATTTAAAAATAAAAAGAATGCTTGAATTTTGGTCGAAAACAATCAAGTTTTACATTAATTGAAAATAATGTAAAATGTTCAGCTTGTTAGCAGTGCTTGTCATCCAGTCTGTCGAGCTGAAAACAGCGGCTGACTGGACATCTGCCTGTCAGCCGCTTTGAATCCCGACTGAAAGCACCTGACTACAGTTCAGAAAGTCTGTGCTTAAAATATGCAGAAATAAAAAATGCAAACTCATTAATTTTCATCACTTTTAACACTTTGGATAACGACACAGTTGGAAACAGCTTGCATGTTTCTGGTTGAACAGCTTAAAATAATTCTCCAAAAGCGTATTCCCATATGGACAAATCTTGCATTTTTTATGTATATTCTACAGCTTGGTGCCTTCAAACAACAGCTAGCTGACATGACACCCACATGTATGAAATATACTGTAAAAACTACACAAAAAAAGAAAAAGATAAATATTCTCCTAATAAAATTAAGCATTTAAACTATTGTGAACATTTATGCTGGCAAGAAAAATTATAAAAATACCGTCTGCAAGTAAGTATATCAAAAAATAAATAACACTTCTCCTATTTGCAGCTTTAGTAACAGGTGGGTAGACATCCAAAGTTTCATCATTCATAACAAATACATTTATGGACATATTACAGTCAAAATTACAAAAAATAACTTAAAACACAGACAAAATTTATAAGAAAAGTTTAAATGATAAATATGCAGTTTTCCAGGTTTGAATATGTTCATGCAATTATACTTCAGATTTTCTGCTGTTTTTAAATCAGTATGTGTTTGTCTGGTCAGTAAAGGTGCTAAATGTAATTCTAAATAATTGAGAGAGGCACTTTCACAAGGCAGGACTCTACTAACAGCTGCGCCGCAGGAGAACACAGGACTTTGAACAGCTTTTTTCTTTTCACTTTTAAAAAAAGTATAGTTTTTTTGTTTTGTTTTTTACTTGTACAAGAGTTGAATAATTATAATTATAATTTTTTTTATCAAAACCTTCCTTCGTAAATCTTGAACACTGAAAGGAAACTGAAAATAATATTTTTATACTGTATCATTATAATTAATACCTTTAATTTTTTATTGTTCAGTATTATTAAAAAATGTTTTTTTTTATCAGGTTTGATGTGATGAATGTATTTATCCCTGTGTATAGAGCTAAGGTTTATAATTTTACACATACTCATTTCTAAAGCATGAATCCTAACCTTTGACTGACATATAGCAAAATAAACCCAAATCGTTTTTTCCTTTTTTTTTTAAATTGAATAAAGATAAAGCAATACATCATCTGTTTTTTGTTTTTTTGGTCTGGTTTGGATAAGAACGTCAAGTTGCAGTTTCTTAATCATATCAATACAGTACTGTAGTCAAAAGACGCCAGATTTAAGATGATCTTAAACTGTACTGCCTAAGTATTTATTCCACAGGTACTCAATTACAATGTGTTACATAAGACAGAATCTTATGTAAAAGATCAACAGGAATAACCACAAATGTGCCTAGAGGAACTTAGATAATATATTGCTTTGATTTTTTTTTTAATACAAAGAAAAGTCTAAAAGATTTGCAGTGCACTCATGTTTACCCCCCCCCCCCCCCCCCCCCCCCCCACACACACACACACACAAAAAGAAGTTTACAGAATCCCCTTTCCCTGCAATTATGGCTGCAAGTCTTTTGGAATATATTAGTGTCAGCTTTAGGCTCTGATTTCTTAATTGGATATAGGTCTGAACTCTGACTCTGCCTTTGTTTTGCTGTTAGGCTGCTAGAAAGTGAACTTACCTACCCTGGCCTTTTGAGGCATCATTTCCCTGTTTTTATTTGTATCATTTTCACATCAACTCTGACAAGCTTCCACATTAAGAAAATCACTCCTATGACTAGCCTGGCCAGCCCGTCCGATAAGGCTCACTACTCTACGGTCTAAAACAGACCAGTGTTCTGTCAGATCACCATACCCGTCAGACCAGCATACCCATAGTCAATACGCATGTGCAAGATGTCAGACTTGCATACGTGTATCCTAGTCTGACAATATAAGTGTCAGATCAGCATACCCCGTTTATCCCTTTAGTTTATCCTTTTAGTTTTGTACGAAAAATAAACTTTAAACTACCTCAAGGGGCATGTATCCCTTTAGTCATGTACAAAAAAAAACAAAACTATTAAATTACTTACTTTTTGGTGTTTTTTGAAGCTGACCTTAAACTGTTTTTTTGTACATGACTAAAAGGATACACAGCCATTGAGGTAGTTTAAAGTGTATTTTTTCGTACAAAACTAAAGGAATAAATGGGGTATGCTGATCTGACACTTATACAGTAGTGTCAGACTAGCATACGGGTAGGCAAATCCGACGTCTTGCACATACGTATTGACTATGGGTATACTGGTCTGACAGAAAACCGGACCAATCACAACATGGGAGTCATTCCTATAATGCAACAGTGCCTTTCTGTAACCTTAACAGCTACAACGGAGCTATTTTTTTTTTATTGATGCCCTTTATTATGTCCCAAAGCAGCTGTTTAATACCCAAACATTTCAAGCTGTGAGAGCTTTTCTTTTTTTTTTTTTAAATAGATGTTTTTGCATCATATTAGTAGTTATTAGATTGGCTCTAAAATGTTTCCACTGACCGTCCTATGTTTAATATGACGTATGCATGCCGTAAATGAGTCTGGCTGCCCAGGCTGCCCTATAACATAATAATTCTGCCACCCCCAGGTTAAAAAGTTTGGCCAAAAATCTAGATGGTTTGCGCCAATTGCGCAATTGCGATTTAAAATTAAGGATACAAAATCCCCTGCTAACCAACTGCAAGAAACCTTTATTTTGCTGGCTTTAAGTTATATTATTCTCCAACAAGTCTGTCAGCTGTATCGTGTGAAAAAAACTATTTCTGACAATGGCCCAGAGCCACTTGTCTTTGCGAGCACCTGCCATAATGAGCATGAGCCCTGATGAGATTGTGGAAAAAGTGTGAAGTAGTGCGTGGAGGTTTATAACAGCTCTTCCAAGCAGAAGTGAAAGTTTATTGCGCCTGGCGGTTCGGTGCTTCAGTTTGTCACTGAGCTCAGCATGGATTCACTGGTTCTTGGTCCTCCCAGGTCTGCACCGCTACTGTCACCCCGGCTGAGTGGCAGCAAGGTGCTAATGGCTGCCGCTATAACCGAATCCCCGAGCATCTGCTGCGGGTGACACTTTTTTTCCCCTTTCTTTTTTTTACTGTCACCTCAACCCGGTCTGACAGCAGCTATTTCAGCTCCTATCTCTGAACCTGCACCTGATAGATGCCATTTTTTTTCTGCCTTGAGCTGATGAATGATTTATGCTGTGGGAAGTGTGACTCGCTGCATTCAAATCAGCCTCAGCTAAATTATATGATTGTGAAGCTGCTGAAGTGTTTTGATAATCTGTAATGTGCGCATACAAAAGAAAAATATTGAAAAAGGAAAGGGTTTACTCACAATCAACCCTGCAAAAAAAAAAAAAAAAGACGAGGAAAAAACATAAATAACTGAAGATGAAGAAAGAAACCCCAGAATGGACAAAAATGGAAAGATCAAAAATAATCCCACAGTAAAAAAAAAAATGAAAAGGGGACAAACATGAGCTTCACACGGGTTGAGCTCTTACCTTCTGTGAGAGTTTCTGTTGCTATTGACATGGCCGCGTCCCGTGCAGCCGGGCGTAGGACACTTAAGAACATTCTCATACATTGCCACAACTTCGCACAGACAGGAGACAGGAGTGAAAGACAGGGAAGGTTAGGAGCCCTTTACAGTCACCCATGAGCGCTATTAGTGTGTGAGGAACCTGGCATTATAAACATCATTAAGAAATGAACCCAAATGACCTCTTTTTCATTTTAATGAACACAAGTTTGAAAGGGCAGATGAGGTTTCACACCATATTGCTTCCACTTATCCGGCTCTTTCAAATTAGTATTCATGAAATGAGGGACGTTTATGAATAAAAAGATGTCATTTAGGTTGGACAGGACAAAGCCAGCGACAGACAGGAGTGGAGGGACATTTTTAGGCATGCAAACAACTTACAGTCATGCAAGACAGCAGCCTTTAAATCGATGTTGGACACTGGCAGATCAAGTACTTCTTCTTGTCAGTGTGCTTTCTTATCATTTGTGCATTGTTAGGGCAGAGGGTGCAGTCTTCAATACCGTTTACCATTGAGACAGCCCCTCAGCAACCGGCCAATTAGATTAATGATGTATGGATGTCTGCGAGGAGCCATCAGAGCGCAGCAGGCTTGGGGGAGAAGGAGGAGCCTGGTGGCATGTGGGGCCAAACCCATCGGCATCAGCTTCATCATTATCACCCCCTTAAACTTTAACCCCTCATCATCCTTCTTTCCCTACATACTAATTGGTGTTGGGCGCAGGTAATTGGTCAATGCATCCCACTCTCAGCACAGCACAAGATTATATATTATGCATATTCCCCGCTTGTGTTGGCCTTTTGTTCGGGGACAGTCAGGGTAGCAAAAGAAATAAAAACTCTGCTCTGCAGAGATGTTTTAATTTAATAGGCAAGGGATCTAAAGCTATCTTCACATTGTTCCTTATAAAATTGTTGGGCTCTGTTTGATGCATATTCAAAGGTTTCATCTGTAAAAAAAAAGCTGATTTTTATTAACGGTTTATCTATTCATTATTTTTTAGCTCTAGTAGTGTCTGCAACAAGATATCCTCTTTAGGAATGGCACATATTTCTCTCAAAGTGCAAAACAGGTTCTATAAGCTTATCATAAGCTGTTTAAGCTGATATTGAAAGGACTATTTAGATGTTTTTGTTAAGGCTGGACTTTGTTATGTAACCTAAATTTGAATCAAACCTGAAAAGGATACTGTAACTCTACAAAGAAAACAGAATATTCGATTCAAAGTTTGAGATTTCTGACATTATTATCCCTAATAAAAAAAAAACAACAGCAGTTTGTTTAATTTTGATGATTACAAATGACAACAAATGAAAATCTCAAATTCATCATATCAGAAAATTAGAATATTGTGAAAAGGTTCAAAATTGATGGCCCCTGGTGCCACACTCTAATCAGCTAATTAACTCAAACCACCTGCAAAAGCCTTTAAATGGTCTTTCAGTCTAGTTCTATAGGCTACACAATCATGGGGAAGACTGCTGACTTGACAGTTGTCCAAAAGACGACCATCGACACCTTGCACAAGGAGGGCAAGACACAAAAGGTCATCGCTAAAGAGGCTGGCTGTTCACAGAGCTCAGTGTCCAAGCACATTAATAGAGAGGCGAAGGGAAGGAAAAGATGTGGTCGAAAAAAGTGTACAAGCAAGAGAGATAACCGCACCCTGGAGAGGATTGTGAAACAAAACCCCTTCAAAAATGTGGGGGAGATTCACAAAGAGTGGACTGCAGCTGGAGTGAGTGCTTCAAGAACCACCACACACAGACGTATGAAAGACATGGGTTTCTGCTGTCGCATTCCTTGTGTCAAGCCACTCTTGAACCACAGACAGCGTCAGAAGCGTCTAAAGAGAAACAGGACTGGACTGCTGGTGAGTGGTCCAAAGTCATGTTCTCTGATGAAAGTAAATTTTGCATTTCCTTTGGAAATCAAGGTCCCAGAGTCTGGAGGAAAAGAAGAGAGGCACTTCATCCACGTTGCTTGAAGTCCAGTGTAAAGTTTCCACAGTCAGTGATGGTTTGGGGTGCCATGTCATCTGCTGGTGTTGGTCCATTGTGTTTTCTGAGGTCCAGGGTCAACGCAGCCACATACCAGGAAGTTTTAGAGCACTTCATGCTTCCTGCAGCTGACCAACTTTTTGGAGATGCAGATTTCATTTTCCAACAGGACTTGGCACCTGCACACAGTGCCAAAGCTACCAGTACCTGGTTGAAGGACCATGGTATCCCTGTTCTTAATTGGCCAGCAAACTCTCCTGACCTTAACCCCATAGAAAATCTATGGGGTATTGTGAAGAAGAAGATGCAATACACCAGACCCAACAATTCAGAAGAGCTAAAAGCCACTATTAGAGCAACCTGGGCTATCATAACACCTGAGCAGTGCCACAGACTGATCGACTCCATGCCACGCCGCATTGCTGCAGTAATACAGGCCAAAGGAGGCCCAACTAAATACTGAGTGCTGTACATGCTCATACTTTTCATGTTCATACTTTTCAGTTGGCCAACATTTCTATAAATCCTTTGTTTTTATTGGTCTTCAGTAATATTCTAATTTTCTGATATGATGAATTTGAGATTTTCATTTGTTGTCATTTGTAATCATCAAAATTAAACAAAATAAACATCTGAAATATATGAGTTTGTATGTAATGTATGAATATAATATACAAGTTTCACTTTTTAAATGGAATTACTGAAATCAATCTACTTTTTCATGATATTCTAATTTTATGACCAGTACCTGTAATTGCAAAATTTTAGAAACCCAGTATGATGTACTGTCACGTTTTTGGGAGCTAGATTCTTAACAAATTCACCTCCAACCCTCATTATCAGTTTTCGCCCGGTTATAATTTGCTCTATGTTTAATTTCAGGTAAACTTTAGTATCTGATGTTAAAAAAATAAAACAAATTGATGATATTTGTTTTTTATCTTCAGGTAATACAGAGTACATGTCAGATTAAATAATACTACTTCAGCGATAGTTTCAAGGTGTTACTTTATTGTATGTCTCGTACCATGTCTTTTGGTTGTGTTCTTTTTACATCTCATTGCAGGTGATGAAGCACAGTGAAAATGTCTTATCATTATCTCCTTTCTATCTCCTCTTTCTTTCATCTTTTTTTCTTCTTCTTCTGTTTCTCCTCTTCTGTTCTACCTACATTTCAGTGTCCATATAATCAGTAAAACTCCCTGCATAATTATAATAAAGCCATTTATATGCATGAAACAAGCGGAACACTATGGCAATAGCCCTACTGCTCCACTTGTGAAAGTAAAATCTGTTGGGCTCTTTTTGGCATCAAGACTATTACTCTTATTGCCACATTGCCAGACAGGACACTTTTAACGTTTAAAAAAAAAGAGAGGAAAATAAAACGAATTTATCAGTACATAATGGTATCAGAGCACAATAACATAACAAAAAATATATATAAATAATATATATATATATATATATATATATATATATATATATATATATATATATATATATATATATACTGTATATATATATATATATAGAGAGAGAGAGAGAGGGGGAAAAAGCAGAATAATGGATGAGGAAAAAAAAAATACAGTAGGATCTCATTTAAACACAATTTTTCAAAAGAACAGCCAAATTGAGCTACGTGGTTCTTCAATTACATAAAGTCACTGAATTAATAATACATAGTCCGTTCAGTGCAGCTAATGTGTTAATGTGAAAGAGTAAGAAAGATTAGACCCTGCAGGCGATCAGATGTGTGATGCATACTCCTGTTTACCTTTTACTGTCCTCTTGACGAGTGAAAATGCTAAGAAGTCTTGAATTATTTACTTGGAAGTATATTTTGCATTTGGTTGGAGGACGGACAGATAAAGACGCCGCTGTGTTGATAATCCTCTTTAGAGTGTTTTAGTAGAAGTCAGAATGACAGTAGTGGGAAGCAGTAAAATGAAGGGAATCACATTCTATCCATCTCCAGTTCTGTTAATTTATGACCTTCCCAATTTCATTTTGGGAGTTCCTGTTCCGGGACGCCTCCTCCAAGGGATTTACCACACTTCTTTGTGGCCCAGCTCTTTAATAGTATCTGCTTTTTTTAAGCTATTTTATTATTTTTGACTGAAGTCTGGGTCACAGAACATTCTAACTGCATTTTCCTTCTATCATTAATGAAAAATACACACGAGATGAGTTTGCGGAGGGTGAAAGAGACTGAATCAGCAGGCTGAATGCTCCAAAGGGAAAACTCATTTTTCATTCAAGGCTAATGTTTATTGCCACTTCTCTTGATCTGCGGCTTACAGATATGAGACGGCCGTCCTGTTCAACAGATTTGAATTGAGCAAGGAATACAAATAAATGAACAGGGATTCATGCCACGGATGACTGAAGCAAGCTCAGTGTTATCAAGGTCTGTGAGCATTTTCAAGTTTCCAGAAATTGAAAAATCACGACTCTATTAACAGTAAAAACAAAAAACAAAAAAAAAAGCTCTAGAATTAACGAAGACCAAGCAGTTTAACCTTTCTTTCCCCTTGGACATGCTTTGACATGGAGTGTGAAAACATGCAACCCAGCCGGGACAATGAAGGAAGAGGGAGTATCTTATTCTCTCCGTCGCTGTCAGTCAGTGTAGCCAAGTCAAGCAGGCCTTTGAATCTATGACTGACAGCTCGCAACCGTCCTGCCAATTACCAAGACCTCATTTCCCACCTCATCAACAACGTGCCGCCAGCAGACAATCAAAGAGAAAAACCACGGCCCCATGCAGAATGTCAGATGGTGGGTTCAACTGTAACCCAACTGACCTCTCAATATCAAACGGATACACAATACATAGCATCAGACAGAGAGACGAAACACGGGAAACATGCCGAACCAGGACAGAACTGTGAGGATGAGCACTGACTGCTGTGTGGCTGATTCACTCACTTTCCGGCGGCACCCTGTCTTTGTGCGGACAGCCTGACAGGCTGCGGTGGTGGGGGTACAGGCCTGTTACGTGACCCGTGCCGTCACAGCCCGGCGTCGGACACCGGCTCTCCTTCTTGTCTGCGCGGGAAACATCTGAGGACAGAAGGAAACGTTACAGTTACGGAAAATGGTGGAATGCTTCTTTCTTACCATCTAAGGGAAAGTTCGTGGGTTGAAAAATTATATTTGACAGAAACCAAAGCACTGGTACAAATCAGTTTATATCTGATCAAAAAACAACATTTTAGTGTTGGTCATTATGTCAACTGTATCGTAGTCAACTACGCCATCTATAATCTGATAGAAAAGAGGCCTACAGAGGAGAGAGAGGAGCTTTTAGAGTTTCTCTGAGACTCTGACCCACAGATCTCGATCTAAAAAAATGTTCTAAACTGCTGCAATTAGGAAAACAGTAAGACATTAAAAGCAAACCACCAGTCCGCCCCAATACTCTCTGCTTCCAAAGTTCCCCCCTGCTTTCAGGAATTGAGAGAATTTATTCTATTGTATTTATTTTACATTCTATCAATCATTTTTCTATGCCTTTGTGTTTTACCCATTTGTAATTTTTTTGTCTAATTTGTTGAAGGATCCAAGAGGGAAAATCTCTCTTCTTGATTTGTATCTTATTTGCTTTGCAAAACGACAATACATTGATTTGATTTCGATGGCTGGTGCAGAAAGTTTTAGGCACTGAGGTCAAAATTCAAAATACATTTGCATTCTTGTTGATTTTTCTTTCACTAATTCAGCATGATTTGAAAAAAAAAAAATTTGCTGTTTCTAATTCAGTAAATGATACTTATGGTTAATAAAATCTACAACCAGACCTAACACTGAAAATACACACAATACTGGGTTATTTGTCAGATTTGTAGCACATTTAGGCACAACCAGGGATGACGCCTTAAGAGTTAAATGCAATGGTGTAGCCAACTTGTGCTTCTAGTGCATTTAAGTTTATTTCTTAGGACTTTAAAAAAGTATTTTTTCTTTTGGTTCTGAAGATGTATTTTTTCCAAAGATGTAATTTCTGTTTGAGCATGAAGCTGCACACCCATTTTCACCCATTATTAGGGAAGATAAGTAAACTTTTCAAATCAATATCCTCTCTTTGTCCGCATTCAACAAATATCTGCTCATGCCTTATGTAGAGTCTTAAGAAAATAGACTATCTTAAGAGCTCTCTATTCAAGTTTGCCTCCCCATTAACTGGTGTCTTTTCTGAAATTTGTACTCCGCTTGGTACAATGCTAAGCAAAAAAAAACAATGCATTAATGAGATGTCTAGAGGTAACATTATGTTTTTTGCTGTTGCAATAAGTCTGTAAAATCTACAGAAATTTTAAAATAGCAAATACAATTAAATTAATCAGTGAAATCTGCATTCTGTTTAAGTTCTTGATGCAACAGATGGATTAATTAAGTTTTAACCACATATCTTTAAGAGCATTAATAAATGTTAACATGTGCTGCTGTTTTATTGTGACATTAACATATGGAAGGAGGCAGGGGCAGCGAGCAGAGAAGTGAAGCTAGCTGAACCCTATTTAAAATACTCTTTGTTAGAAAATAAACTCTACATTGATGACCCTAAAGTGAGGAGAATGGGAGGCAACAGGAAGAAACACTGTGCCAATTTTTTCTGTGAAGTTCTAACTAGTCGATGCCATTTTTTGCCCCAGATACCAATACCTGATACCTGGCTGAGTAGTATTGGCCAATACCGATACCATCTGTTTCAAATTGATGGGTGTGCGTATGTATAAAGAACTGCATACTACTTGGATGTAAAATAATTGCCATCATGGCTTTATCAAGCTGCTGATTACCTTTGTGAAGCAGGAAAAAGATTAATACAAGGGAATCCAGTAGAACTTTTTATTGCCTACCTGCAATGGGTGATAATAGCTGAATAAATGTTTGGCTCTCAAAATGGTATTGGTGCCCTATTTGTTGGTACTCGCCGATACCGATACCTCCATTTTAGTGCTGGATCGGGTCCCCACCCGATACTGGTATCGATGCAACGGTCATAGTCATTCCAAAACAATTTTGGAATGATCATACAAAAGCTTCCCGGATGGGAAGCGAAACATCTTCAAACTTGGAAACCAAGTCCAGTGGATTGTTTTTAGTTGTTTGGAAAAGTTCTAACATCTTTTTATTATGTGTAGCAAAAGAGGAGACGGACATGATGCAGGAGAGGAGGATAGAAGGTACAGAACTGGGTTTATTAAAGAAAACCTCCAAATTTTGGGAAAGAAAAGAGTAGAATGGTTGAATAAATAAGATTCAAATTCCAAATAAATCTACATCTTTTAGAACAAGTCTCTGACATCATTCTATATAAGATTAAAGAGAGACAGGTTTTTGTTTTTTTAATTTCAACTTTTTTATATATTCTTTGACCTGATTCCTTATTTTTATTTCTTTATGTTTACAAACTTTGATCTCTGTGTGGGAGTGGGGTAGAAATGGGCTAACACAAATGGTTTATTAATTGTTTTCCTGACAGGTTGTTTACATCAAATTAAGCTGTAAGGTTAAACTCAGCTGAAGCCATTTTTAAAATCTCGTCTCCACTCTTTCACCGAATTAGTGGCTTTCAGAACAAAGTTATTAATCAGTGCGTTTAGACTCAATGATTTGGTTTTTTTTTTGCTTTACTGCATTAAAGGACTAACAACATGGAAAACAAATCTCGAGACACTCTCAGCCACACAACAGATCAGATTGTCTTTCTCTCCCTGAGACCCGGATCTCATGTTTCCTTGAAACCAGAACATATATGGTTTCCACCAAAATGCAGTAAACTCTGCCGACAGACATTGTTTCCACCTCTAACATAAGTTGACTGTGAAACAAGGTCAAATATTTGTAATGAAATCCAGGGTTTGGATGAGTTGATAATCAGTTTGTAGTACAGCAACTTTAAGGGTAAATAACTTCATTTAAAATCTAACAGAACCAAAAAAAAAAAACAGTGTTGTTTTTGAACATAATCAGTTAAATTAAAAGCAAACTGTGTGACTCTTGGCCACTAAGGGCGCTAGACCTGTAACTGCCAATATTTTGCAACTACTGTACTATACATTGAAAATAATAGTCTAATATTAAAGCTGGAAAAATATAATCCGTTTTACAAACGCTTTCTTCTTTCAGCCTGCACAAACGAACAAACTCCTTTCTAATATCAGCTCTTGTTATTCTCGCTTTCCTGATTTCTCTTTTTAACCTCCTCAGAAAGTTTAAACTTTTACCTTGCCTCAGCCATGACCAGTAGTCGAGCAGGCGGAAAAAATAGTAGAGCAAAAGACTTAAAAGCATACTATGCAACATTTTTCAGTTAATTAATGTGTTCCATAACGTTTTGGATGATTAAATGAGTCATTTCAGGTCGAACAAAGGTTTTCTCTGCCACCCTGGTGTTCTGTAGGGGAAATACCGTACTTGCAATTGCAGGAGCCCTAGGCACGCACCCACAGGCTCAGAAGTCTCGTGCATCACGTGAGACGGTCTTGCTTTTCGGCGAGAACTGCTACACGCCCCAAGTGAAAGGCATGCTCGTTGCTAGCACAGTGGCGATATTTGTGCAGTTATCATGGTGGAACCAGCGAGAAAACAGCGAAAGTCCATGTCGGAGCTGGCAAGAAAGAGGAAAAGGGCTCTGGACAGCGAGAGGAGTCGTACACGGGTGAACATCGGGCAAGCTTTTTCTGCATGGCGAGAGCTAAAAGAAAAAGAAGGCTGCAAGGCAGACGCGGACCTCGCGTTTCTGCTGATGCGATTGTATGTAACATTGGAATGGTTTCTCTCTCTGTGTGTGCATGTTCATACTGTCTGCTAAGCTCAAAACAACCGTGCCTGGCTTGACGGAGAAACCAGGAGAACAGCTGAGCATATTTACGACAGTGCACTTTTACTTTCGCCCTCTGGGGGGAGCCTCGCTGGAAAATCAACACCGGTTGCATAGTATACCTTTAACTCCATGAAGATATAAGAGCCTAAAACTGTAAAGTGATACGTTCTTCCAGGTCACCTATTCACAATGTAAGTTCTCCCAACTTACATTGTGGGTATTTCAAGAGGGGAGTCCCGCTTGTAGCATTGATAGTGTCAATCACTGAATATTTGCCTGAGGATTCATTTAAAACAGCTGTTATGCGTCAACTCTTTAGGTCACAAAGTCCATAATTTGCCTTTAATATAACATTCAATGATAATTAGTATCCTTAGATGCAACCTTAGAAGATTTGACGTAGGAGGGAAAGGAAAAATACACAGTTAGACAATGTCTTGAACCTCTATCTCATATACAGTAGCAGCCATTTAAAATGGCCCTTCCAATTAAAAGCCAGCAAAATCCCCTCAAACTTCCAGGTGCTGGCCTTTTCCTGGGCGTGCATATTTTTTTACTCTGACTCCACCCTTTCACTGAATGACAGGGTCTGACCAGGACACTTCTCTTTAGATCTTAATGTCCACAAATAATGACAGAAAGAATATTTTAGTACAAAGATTGATGTTTAAAAAAAGGAATTTTAGGGGACCAGCCAGGGACCCATCAAGAAAAGTGGGCATATTTTGAATGACTACTACTGTACTTGTCCATGAACAGATATAAGCCCCTCTGTTTGGTTATAACTGTATTGTTACAATGAACTGAGTTAAGCAGTGAGGAGAGTTTGGAAACTCCAAAGCTGAGAGGTGGCATAGGGCACACGTAATCATACATTTACAAATGAGTCACCGAACGAAATTCCATGTCTCATTCATCAGAAAAGAAGCACCTCATTATCCTTTGGGGCCATCATCCATCTATGCCAAATTAGGCCCATGTGAAATTGGAATAAAAGTGCTATGTCATGTCTGGCTCTTTTGTCTGGCACCAGAACTATCAGGATGGGAAGTTTCCTGGTGAGAGGGAACTTGAGCTGCAAGTAAAAGGCAGCTTCTTTAGGTAATGGCTTCATTGTAAAATGTTCGCTGTTAATGTTTCACCGGCACGTTGGAAATAATTCCCCATTTCCATAGATATGAGTGCAAACAGACGCGATGCTCATGCATCCCGCCTGCATCCCTTCTATTGT